ATTATTAGAAAAGAAATCTCCATCTCAGAATGATGAAGTCAACAATCCAAAGTCAACGGCGATCGATGAATCAAAGTGGGTTATCAATCTCTCAACACATATATTAAGTCCTACGGAAATAAGTGTATTAGAAAAAGGACTAAATTTCAATGTATCAGTAGACAAGCTGAAACCTGAGGATGTCATCCCTAAAATAGAAATAGCACTAAGTGGGATAGACAAAACTACTGCTGATGAAGTACGGGCACAATGTGCACTAACATTAAAACGACAAAAATGTGGAAAGCCTAACCTGACAAAACAAGAGATAGAAGCCCTGAAATACCTTAAGGATAACAAGGATATAGTTGTCACAAAGTCAGACAAAGGAAATGCAACAGTAGTATTAGACAAATCAGACTATTTGGACAAGGTAAATACTCGCATACAAACAGGACCATATGAGGAAATTAATAAACCAATAGATATAGTTATGAATAAAGTTAAGAAATCCACAGTGGACCTTATACGCCGAATGAAGCCGTTTCTAGGTGAGTCCAAGTGGTTTAATTTAATGCCCAAAACTAATAACCCTAGTAGGATGTATGGTGTTGTTAAAGTTCATAAGTCAGGATACCCTATTAGGCCTATAGTTGATTTTAGAAATTCACCTACTTATGAATTATCTAAATATTTAGCCATGGTATTAAATCCCCTAAAAATCCACTCGAAATCTAGACTAATTCTTATGAACTGAAACACAGATTAGATAATTTAAAATTAGATAATGAAGAAAAAATGGTTAGTTTTGACATTGTCAGTTTATACACACGCATACCAATAAATATGGCTATGGAGGCAGTCAGAAACGAACTCATTTCTAACCAAGAAGTCGAACTTAGGACAAAAGTGCCACTTGAGGACATAATGCTGGGAGTACAGCTCCCAATGTTAGATTGCTACGTAAAAAGGAAGATGGGAAATTAAACACTAGTGTTTACAGGAAACCCACACACTCAAACAGATATTTGGACTTCCGATTGTCCCATCCTATGTCAGTAAAAATAGGATTGGTGAAATGTTTAAATGACAGAGCACAAAAACTAAGTAGTACCAAAGAAAATCTAAAACAGGAACTGATACACATAAAAGAAGCCTTAAAACTTAATAATTACCCGGATAAATTAGTCAGGAAATATGTAAGGAAATGTAAAAATAAATTAAATAATGATAGTAGCGATGGTGATAATAACAGTAATAATGATAATAGTAATAGTGATAATAATAATATTATTATTAATGACGACACCAACAATAAGGAATCTAAATCATCAGTAGTAATTCCATACAAGGAAGGAACCTCGGAAACCTTACGCAGAATTCTTAACAAGGCAGGAATAAAAATGACATTCAAACCCACAAACTCAATTAGAAACAAGCTCTGTCGGTTAAAGGATCCTGCTGTGGAGCCTTTAAAACAGAACAATTTAGTTTACCTAATACCCTGCAATGTTTGTCGGGTCAAATACATAGGTCAAACTAGTAGAACAGGGGCTGTCAGACTAGCTGAACATAAAAACTTAGCAAAATCTAGATTGGTTGATCCAAATAAGATAAGAAATCTAGAGAATAGTTCAGCTATAGCACTACATGCAGTTACACACAACCATACAATAGGATAGGATAGGATGACAGTTTTAAAATCTAATGTCACAGGGTATAGGGAGAGATTGATAACAGGAGCTTTGTTTATCGAATCAACTGCAAATACATGTAATAGGAACGATTCATCAGCTGTCCCCGATATCTGCAAAATTCTACTACCCCTATGACAAATAGGAGAAACAAAAAGAAAACTATAAAACCCAAGTTTCAATGTCGTGTGATTACAATTGATATGATTATGAACAATAAATTTTGTTCGAAACGTCATCCAGTAAATAATACTGTTTCACTGTGTGGTAGATCTAATAAACAAACTGATATGGAATTAACAAGAATGCCGTCGGTTTTTGTGGAAACCTTATTGGGAGTGAAGTGAATCAATCAGCCAGCGATTAATAAGCACGTTACGGTGGAGCAAGTTGACGAGGTGCTGATAAAAAGTAAATCATCACGTGACAAGAGTGTTCAAATTCCAAGTAAATAAAAATGACCAATGTGGAGGTAAATTAACAAATATTCACGACAGTGGTTGCTAGAAGATTTGATTTGATCATTCATGGAGAATTTTAATAAGTCCATTTTGTAATAAGACCTGCGCTGAAGATGTCTAGAAGAGTGACGTTGTATGCTTCGCAATTAAATCAACCAGTTCAGACAACATAACTAATTCAATATTATATGCAGTATATTGATAAGGTTTTCTATGGCCTAAAATTTAATCAAGTCGCCTATAGTGAATTTGAGTACCAGGTGGGTCATTTTGTCCACAGCTTCTATTTGTCATTCAATAATTAATTTTTTCCTTTGATTTTTTAATTATAGCTTGATTCCACACCGTGTATTGCTACAACTATGGAATTTTCAGCATGTGATATCGGTAGCCCAAATTTTGCAGGCCGACCATAGATATCAGGTGGGCGTCGCCAGGGGATCGAACCCGGGTCCATGTGCATGGTCGGCGAGAGTCCTAACGACTGTGCCACCGATGCACAAATTTATTGAAATCAATTCCGAATTTTCGGCGATTTCAGTTCATTAGACCGAAATGCTTGCTCTTTTTTATATATCAGCTCCTAGTGCGGGTTTTTCGATAGTGGCCTAAGATTAACTTGGTGCTGTTTGGTAGATGGGGATTAGCAGTAGTAGTATGCAGGACGCACGTTTCGTACTATGTGGAATTTGGTTCCATGTGCCTCCATCCCAGGTGATAAGTGATGGCGTATCCACTGAAACCTGAACCCCACAGTACCGATTGTTTAGGTTGCCGAAATGTTATCAACTAGGCCGCGTAAAAAGCCACAATCAAAATTTGTTTACAAGTTATTGGTCCGTGTCTTTTTTTCCCAATTTTTATTGTACTAAAGCTAAACTCAAGTATTTAAAGAAGACTAAGTTAACAGTGTTTTAGTGCATTTCTATTCTATCATGATTCACTGGTGTTATGATTTTATTAGTTTCCGAGAAAAGAAAAATATTTATTAAACGAAGACTTCGTCCAATTGACTGATGAATAAATTATTAACGTATTCATTAGGTTGATGATCGAAATAAACTAAAAGCCTGGGTTGTGGTATGATTTAAGTCGGTTTCCAACTAAGTCATCATTTCACTGCAATCAACGCTGGTAGATACAGTTATGTTGTGTGTATGGGTGATATGTGTTATTGTCTGTCTTAAAAAATAATATTAACAGAGCGTTCTATTTCGTTTTTTCAGAAAAACACATCTTATAAAATTCTCTAAGCTTTGATATTTCACATAGGGCTGGAAACAGAGATTTGTCCTTATAGTTCGGCAAACTTGGTGTAATCAACATATATGACCAATCATTAGCAAGGTGATGTAAATACTGTAGGGCAATTCCTATTGATTGAGAACGCATTTCATCGATTGACTTATTTGAATCAGCTTATTTTGAGTGGTTTTAATTGTTAGAATTGTAGCTAAACGAACAACAATCAAATACATGTTCATTCACCTCACAGGCGGTTTTCTACTGTATGGGAGCTGATTGTGGCTGCTCAAAATCTGCGTAAGTATAGCTGCAACGTAAGCAGTTCCACAGAATTCTCTGCTTAAAGCCGAAATTCCACGGATTATCATCAGTCGTTTGGTTCTAGTTGATATGATTTGTTCGGAGGAAGAGAGATAGAGAAGATTGGGTCTCCTTGAAGTAGAAAACCAAATCAGATAATATCGATAGTATCTACAAATTTAAAAAATCTGGCATGTTTTTTAACCTTATGTACTGTAAGATGATTCTCTTTCTTCACTTTATTTACACTGTCTCTACTACTCATGAAACTGTAAGAGATGCGTGTGTTTAGTTGAAGTGAAGCTTCTGCTCCATGTTTGCACATTGTGATATCGGTGAAGACTTTTTGTACCTATCAGTCGGTGTTTGTTGTCATCCACCTGATTTTTCCGTCCTACAATGAAGTCTAAAATTTGACTATATGTGGTAATAGGCACCTTCGTAGTCCCGCGGTTTTCGTCCGCAAAACAACCTGATATGCTGTCTTGCGTGTGCGTGTTCGTCTCTGTGTGTTTGTCTGTTTAGTGTTATATTGGAAACGAGAAGCGCAGTTGTTTCAGTATATTATAGTTCTATCAGTCGTGGCAGGGTTGGTAAACTAGTTAGTTTGCACACTAATTTTTTTATTCGCTTATTGATTTTCACTGGCTAACTGTTTGTGTTTGTAAAATATTCCAAGAAAATAATAAAATTTACCAAGGTCACTTATCAGTTCAATGCATTCATTGGAATTTATTGAAGTATATATTGGTGAATATATATATATATATATATATGACTATCACGGTTCACTGTAAGATGGTTAGACGTGACCAGCAGAAGCCTCTGCATCTAGGTTTTGTGTTTATCTACACTCATCACCAAAGAAATATGTGCAGCTTGGAGGGGACTGATGCCTCCCTTGGAGATTTTGACCTGTGTAACCCAATAGTGCAGTCAACAGTGTTGCCACTGACCTATTCAGACTCACCATTGACCTTCCATTGTGGATAAAATTTGATGAAGTTTCAGTTTTATACAGCTTTATCAAAATATATCTTATCCACAGGGGAATTATAATTACTCTACCACAGTGTAAAAGTTCTATTCTTATATCACGATTGACCTACTATATGACTTTAATGGGTACACTGATTGATCTTCGGGAATCTCAAACAACTAAGAGTTTGTATTTAAAACCGGTCATATTTACTTTTTTTTTCCATGGCTTACTTTTGGGGATGCAGAGTCACTTTCATCCCTATTGTTTTAGTTGCCTCACAATCGTTTTGTTGTAATTTAGTTCTAAAACATTTATTTTTCCTAAAAATAAATATTTTAGGCAGCTGTAGCTGAACAAAGACAAATGGAATATGATGGGAAAACTGATCAGTCAGAGCTCTTTCAGTCTAATCACCAATCGCATGGTGCACCCTATGAAGGTGCTAATTACTCAGATGCACACATTCAGGTAAACAGATAAATACGTCGTGTACTTTATTTGTTTCAGTACTGCTCTGCATTTTAAGATTTTTATTCGTCAAAGTTGTGTTTATTCATTCTTCTAAGTGAGTTACAGCATTCTTCATATGAAAAACCAAAGCTGCTGAATCGTGGGGCTCACTGCTTGTGCAACAAATTCATATAACTGATGTGTTTCAAATAGGATAAAGCAGTCTTGATTTGCTGAAAAACAGAACACGTAGTTCAGCGAAGAGTTTGTTTTCGACAGCGAATTCATTCACGTATCTGTACAGTCACAAGCGTATTTAATTATTTTGTATGTATGTCAGACAAAAATAAAAATTAGTCAGAGGTATTGTTTGCGTCATCAAAATCTTCCAAAAAATGTGGTGAATAATCAGATTGTGACTGGAGGAAAGGATGCATACAGAAGCGAAAAAAATATGGAAACATGTAACAGTTCTAAAGAAATACAAATTTATAAGAAGTTAGGGAAACAAGCACACAAAAGTCAAGTCAGGAGAAATCAACATGATAATAGAAATGGTTGAATGATTTCCTTTTGCATGCATAACTTTGGCTTTCCCAACTGAATGGCTAAGGCTTAAGCAATACAAAGGAGACGAAAGCGTGTTGCCTTTGGTAGGTTATTCTTGACTCTAGATTACTTTGAAGGAGGCGTTTGTTGAGATGGAGTGGTTGGTGTTAACAAGATGTTCGATGATCGTACTCCTAATGGAGTCACGACTACCTTTTTGCAGCCATGCGGGATAGTGTTGTCGAATCCTTTTGGACTAGTTACGCATCGAACGATCAATGTACCTGGCTCCACAGCAACAAGTGAACTGATGTATGCACATAGAAGTGGTCAGATGCTAGTTCTTGTCCTTAAGGCTTTTGCAAAACAATGGGCAACTGGATAACGCTACTCTTATAGTTACTGCGTAGAATGTTTTTCTGAAAGATGCTGAAATTCTTCTCTTAATGGTGTCACGGGCTAAGCCGCCGTTGAAATCCAGGTTCACATAAAGCTTCTTTTTTTAGAGCAAGTAGTGTTTCGTTCCTCTGGACTTTCGGTCTGATATTCTTGTTGATGAATCTCGGTTGGTATACATTCTGAATGAAGGTTTCTTTAAGAAGATCCAGTTCTGCTTCCTGGCCATCAGGACTGCAGCTGGGTCGGGTCCGAGTGGCAAGGAATTTAATTAGGTTTCGTTTTCGTTCAACCTTTGATATAACTGTTAGCCGTTGCTAACCGGTCCTAAGCCCATAAAAAAGGAGTAGTTGTGTGTGAGTTTGTAACCCCACTTGGCAAAAAAACACCACGGTTACTGAAGCTTAAAAGCATGAATAATTGTATGTGTAAAGTAGCGGAAAACATTTAGAAAACGACGTTGAATGTGATAAAAGTATGAATTGTCATATTAATTTCGTATTCTGCGTACTTGTGAGTTTAATTGTTAACTAATATGTGTTTTTAGACTCACTTTGCCGTTGGAAATCGAAATTAATATTTCGTTGGTTGTTAATGAATAACACATGGATTATTGCTAGTTATTGTTAAAGTTTAGGTTATGTTACCCTTTTCTATAATCTTACTTTACTTGGTTTGTATTTCAGATAAAGTATTGATGATTATTATTTCCATGAATGTAATCATAGATCAGTGAAACGTAGAAGATATAAAATTATTAGGTGAAAGTAATCTAACGTTAGCCAGCGCACTTCATTAATTTTGTGTGGATTTGGGTTAGTGCCTCGTCCAAGTGAATCAAACGCTACATCTGAACGAGGATATGTGCTAGGTATTCTTTATCCAGGGTTCGGGGGCGTGACAAAACGTATCGTCTACCACTAGTTGGTTGGTCGATGAACCACACAAAAGCTGTAAACGCATAGGATAGACCGACTAGATATCTATATACATTATTAGGTAAGCTACGCGTATTCGAAAGTTAGGGAAGTTATCAGTTAGGCAAGCAGAATTAAAGGATATATTATCATATATATATATATATATATATATATATATATATATATATATATATATATATATATATATATATATGATTATTACACCTTCAATAAAGCATAAACAAATAAAGCTAGTCAAACGTATTTTTCGTTAACACCAGATAATTTCTGTAGTTTCACAAATAATATCCACAGTTATCTTCAGTGGAAGATCAATCTCTTATAAGGAGTTTTATTGATGTGCTAGATATTTCTTTTGGTATTTAATTCCTGATTAAGTCTTCATGGTCACTTACAGACTTATTGAATTCGCTTGATACAAATATTTTTCTGGACAGTTTTTAATTAGATAACAAGTTTTATTGTAGTGCTATTGATTGGAAACGTTTACTATCCACAACTGCTGATATTGAAGTTTTTCTGTTATTATTCTGCAAGTTCAGTTTTTCTATTTTGAGGGTTTTGCATTCGTATAAATGGTATCGTCATTATAATTGTTATTGAAAACACAAACTTGGTATATTATGGTCATCAAAAGATGTGTGGTTTGTTTAACGGCTGGAATGCTGGCCGGACACCCAGACAGGAGCAGCCAATTCCCGAGTCTTTGACTTGACGTCTGATCCACAAAGCACTGGAGCAGCAGTAAGAGTTACGTCCCTATGGTTACTAATCTTCAGAATGGGATCGTACGCCGTTCTATGTTTTCGGACTCTCTAGCTCATATACACCATAGATTTTTAATCAGGTTTTCTATCTTTTCTAGGTAGACTAGCACGTTGACCTGTTCCCTTGTGAGCACTGCACAGTCGCATTTGCCCCTTGACTTCTTTGAGGAACACTGCTGCCGTATGTGGGTAGGACTTACCTGGTAGTGGCTATGAACACGTGACCATGTGATAGGATTACGAGGAGGAGATCGAAGTCCATCCACCCTCGGCAGTCAGATTGTTTATAGGAGCAGGTGGTATTGAGTTTAAATTAACTATTAACTGGATTGAAAACAAAATGAAAATGGAAATTTAAACATTAGACGACTAAATAAACTTGTTTCCTAGTCTAATTTCAACTGACAAGTTTCAGATAGATACTCTCACTCGTTTGAATCTGTCGTTAGCTGTAATAATATTAGTCCAATACTAATTCGAAAAGTTATGGTCTCAGAGGGTATACACACTTACTCTATCAGTTTTAACTAGTATTCGAAATTTTGTTTTCACTTTCTGTTAAATATGTTAATCATTTACTTTACACTGCCTATCCTCAAGTAATATCACTGGCCTATTAATTATTTCCGTGTAGATTTTGTTATCATGGGACAGTAGACAGTGCTGTCTTTCAACAGTCTATATTTTTCTTCTTTTTAATGCTTACCTCAGTCGTAACAGTCACTTTATTATATATTTTCGAAGAATTGTTCATAACGACCATAGCTGTAACATATAATGTCAAGTATATTTGAATACAACTGTTGGTCCCCTAATATTTCATATTCCTATTACTTTCCTGTATAGATGCCTGTACCGAACCCATCCCATATTGTAAGTATGGAGAATACAATTATGTTGGCTGCCTGCGGTAAAGACGAAGATCTGCCACAGAATCCTAATCTGCCAGCAGATTTGTTCACTGCTTGTCTCACTACTCCGATTAGAATGGCTTTACGTTGGCACTGGTTAAGGCACCAAGAATATTTCCCAGGTGAGATTTTCAATATTCTCCATCAGTTCGCCTGCTTTCTTGGATCTAGGTTTGTTGGCTCTAACCATCACTTACTTTCCAAACGCATAGTTGAACATACACCTTCCCGCTTTTAAAAGGGAAAAAGAGATTCTTCTCTAAGCTCAAAATTAGAACATTTGGTCGATTCCAACCACAAGGCAGTTCCAGCGTCATCCACAGGATATGTAAATATGACTTCTTCCTTTTGCAGAAACTATGCCAGTTAGTATCTAATTTTGCATACTCCGGCTACAACCAACTCTTCCAACTGCATTGCATCATAAGGGATTATACAGCTTGGGAAAGAGTCTATGAAAAGAATCACTGTGTTTTGGTATTATTTAACGTAGTCCAAAAAGAAGCCTTTGGGGATATATTCTAAACTCATCTTGTGTTTTTTTCACTGGTCCTGTGATTGTGGTGATTGTGACTATAGTTTCCTATTTTTGACTTCAGGTTTTTTAGATGAAGCCTTGCTGGATCGTATACCAGGTTCTCACTCAAATCGAATGTCTTTATTAGGCGAAATTAATTGGATATTCACGGCTGTTACGGATACCATCGCTTGGTGTAGTTTTCCACTGGATATATTTCAAAAATTATTTCGCCAAGATTTGCTTATTGCTAGTTTATTCAGAAACTTTCTATTAGCTGAACGTATAATGAAATGTTATGGTTGTCAACCGGTTTCAGCGCCTTTATTACTGCCTACCTATCAGCATAGTATGTGGTGAGTAGTTTCGGTCTCATTTGTCATTTTTTGTTAATCAAAGGTTTATTTTAGAAGTCATATTGAATAGAAAATGCTTATTGGGAATGGGAAAATGTTATCATGTATTACTTATGAAGTTAGCATTAAGCTGGAAGAAATTGAAACGTGTTCAGATGAAGATATGGCAATAACTGATGGAGTCATTAACTTGAAGTTTTGATCACTAATTGAATTCAGTTAAAAAACCAGTGAAAGCCAGGGAGTACTGAACAGATGTTTTGTCTTAGTTTGGGACTCTTCTCGACTACTTACCTACGACCCCACTGGGAATCGAATCCAGGACTTTTAGATTACGAGGCCCAGCTCGCTGGCCGTTTAGCCAATGGGGCCGGATTTCGATTTGGCAAGTGTATTATATCTGACTGACTCGCCCGAAACACTGTGAGTGATAGTTTCTGAATCATTCACATGGGCATAGTGCTGGTTTAAATGTTTACTGTATACAAATTATTGATTTTGTGTTGACTTCACTGTCTCCGAGTAACGTCATTTATACCCTATTAGACATGTGCTGGTCGTTGTTGTCTGTTGCTTATTACGTCATTAAAGTCATGATCTCACATTGCTTCTTTGGTGACTTTCTTTTTGACAGAATTATTGTGGCTTCTCGGAAGGCTTTACCCTGTATACTACCTATATCTGTTTACGAGTAGCACATACGTACCTCGTCTTCATTCTCTTTGTATTATCATATTTATTTGTTTATTTTATTCTCTCTACTTTTGTGTGATAGCATTCGACAACCTTTCTTTGTGTTATTTCTCTCTTTTTCTTTGCCTACTTGCTTACCACCTCCCACTCGATGCATAAATATGACGTAGCTTGAATTGTTGTACAGTAATGCCAGTTCCTACTCTGATAACGAATGCGTCCGTACATATATATATATATATATATATATATATATATATATAGTGGCGATAAGTTTGTTGACATTAATTAGTCAATAACAATATGTCAGGGGTGTATGACAATTGACCAAGGAAATTAATACAAACAACTAAAGGATAGAAATGCTTACAACAGGTGGACTGCGTAATGCATACTTTTGGAAAAATAAGGACTAATTGAAGAATAAATGAGTGTTCAAGCTGACTGAATAACAAGTCAAGGTGTATTTATAAATTATACTTCTCTGGTGTCGGTTATTCGGCTCATGCTATGAAAATCCTGTCATAAAGCTAGCAAAGGAATATTTCCAATTGTGGTTATTGAAAAAGGAGTTGAGATACTATACTATTCCAGTCACACATAAGGGATACACTAATCTCACTATAGATATTAAATCTGCTAGCTTCTGGTACACCGGATTTAACAGTCGACCGTTAGTCAGTGGATACGTATTTCGAATGTTAATAAGTTTGGTTCGTAGCCTGACGCCAGGTAACTCAGGTTAGACAGTTAAATTTCACCTCTCACAAGGCCACAAGCATAAAAATCATGAAATCTCCGCTTTCTGTGCAAAAGTATCTTTTAAAATCGCTTGTTCTCTCACCACCCTCCAATTAGATGAAAGATATTTATTTCAGCTGTTTAGTGTTTGGGATATCCTTCTGTTATATGTCAACTTTTTGTGGAACTACTACATCAATCTTGAGCACAGTTCATATGCATATTTTGTTCAATAGTTATGACATTTAAAAAAAAATTCTTTTAAGTACTCATATGCTGTCGGGTCGCAATAACATCAACTAAAAATTCTGTACACCTGGTGATCCCTTTTTATCTGAAAAACCTACGTTAAATCGTGAAAAATAAATTGTTTCTTGAGTGCATTGGTAGGTTGTACGTATTTTAAATGAATATGAATGTTTCTAAAAGTGAAACGTTTTGGGTCGTCATTAGAGTCGAATCAATTAGTTGATGTTATCTTCAATTTCAGTATAAGCTAAGAGGAACGAATAATTTTATCGAAAAGACTTTAATTCATCACATTCCTATGGTTTGATTCATAAGTTAAATTATGTAACTTGAAAGTGTCGAGTCGTCAGTTTAAGCATCATCTGAGATATATCATAATTTGCTCACAAATCAAATGTAGCTCATAGTCTCGTATATGGAAGACACATAGTAGCCAATTTATTTGATAGTATCGTTGCTCATCTTGATATGCCTATATGGAATAAATTTTGCTTGAGTTGTTATCCAGTTATCACAATTGTATCACTTTATGTCATATTAGATGAACTTATCAAATATGATTTATGCTGTAATACAGTTCTTGAATTGTACTCTTTCATTTATGATGCATAATATTTAATATTGATCCATTTCACAACTTTCAAAGAATGTCATCCAGAGTCTCCAGCAGTGTTTGTTTGATGTGTGTAGTGATGTGGTGTAGTTTCAATGTAGGCTGCTCCACAAACAAGTAATAGTGAGAGAATCAGTAAAAACCAGAAAGAACTGGACAACCGCATCATCTTAGTGTTTAGCTTTTTGGCACGAATCGAAGTCAGCATCTCTATGTTGCTTAGCGAACAGGTCATCACGCAGTCATTACGCTTAGGAGACACTGGGTCATGAATTTTAACTTTGACTGATTCACAGTCTAGTAACACTGCTGCTCAACAATATAGGTGAGTATCCATCCTCATCGATGAATTACTGATAGGCCCCAGGTATCACAGTTTCTCATGTTATAGGCAATTACTAGTGAGAAGTGGTTTAGCATTCTCGTGCAAGGTAAATAAGACCAGTTTCGACATCAGTATCATACTTAAATCTTGCATTTATTCTATATTTTCCATACACAAATTATGAATATTGGTAAATAAAAATTAAGCAGATATTTAAGAGATTAAAGCATAAAGCCAATCACCCCACCCCCTGTGATGAGACGAATAAACTGATCAGTACTGGTAAATGATGACTGAAAACCATCATTTCCTTATTCGTTAGTTTAAGTCTGAGGGTGTGGAATTAATATATACGTGGTATAACATAATTCACATTTCTATTTTTGTCCTCTTGTTTTCTTGTTTTGATTGTTATTTATATTTCTCCACTTTTCAAATAAATGATATTTAAAGGGATGCATGGGACCATACATTGGATCGTGTCATTCATTATTTGCCTAGAATGTTGAAAATTATCGAAGGTAGTCCGTATGTTGAAAAGAAATTACCTATTATCCGTCCTAATCCAAATCCGTCTAATGGTCAGATGAATCATCACCATCATCAATTAGATAATCCTGTTCATCAAAATAACTCAAATAAAGTCATGAATGCTGCTAGTAGTCACAACTATAATATTAACAATCGAATTCCTTCTCCCATTGGAAATGTCCCTTTGGATGCTTGTATAAATCGTGTAGGGCAATTTTGTATACAACAACATCAACCACGGTACCCAAAGCAGCAGCAGCAACAGCAACTACAACAACCATCTCAAGGAATGCTTGGTGGAGTTGCTGGTGAACGAGGTGGTGTACAGTTCCTCCGACAAATGACGACTCTCGCTCCTCTTTGTCTACCGCCAACTAAACCACATCATTCAACTAATATGCCGCCTTCGAATCAAATTTCAAATGACGCAGCTAGTCCGACCACCTCAGCGACTACTAATGTCGGTGTGACGACAACAGTGACAACTGTTGATCCTTCAAAAATATCTTCAGTTGCACCGCCTGTTGGTCATCCAAACAACCAATCGGATCGACAATTGAATGATTCTCGTGTAGAGAATCACTTAGCTGGTACTAATTTGCTTCGTGGTAGTAATGATCAATTGATAGTTAATCAACATCAACTCATTGGTGGTTTACCTTTAGTAAGTTTAATCTGTGCAGTGTAAACGTGTTTATGTCCCTTATTTTCAAATAATATTTAATCATTGTTACGAACAATTAATAAATGTTTATAGTTAGGAGCTTTATAAGCTTCTTTCTTTTGTAACTGTTGTGAGCAGATTGTCTTCGTTACTTTTCGTTGTTTAATCTTATCGTGACTGTTGTTTAGATAAGAATTAGTCTCGATTTGTGTGCTTTTAAATTGTTATGGGTTTACATAAAAAAGGAAGAAGCTGTTTTCTCCTAATGGGTAAGTGACCTGTAATTGGCAGTTTATGAATTTGATTAATTCTCTTTTCAATAAGGTTTGGACAATCACAGATTTTAAAACTTTTTTGTAGTAAATATAACTCACTATCATCTATTTAATGAACCCTTACAGAAGAATTATAGTTTTAAATGATTCACGTTATCGTATGTAAACTTTTTGAGTACCCGTGTACAAACCACACATGATTTTTGTGAGTTGGTGGTATTATCTGATTCCCCAAGTCAGAGTAGATAAGGTCACCGTTGAACTTTTCATTAGTTGAACGGAGTAGTTTATTGATTGAGAAATGACAATTTACTTACTGAACACATTCGCTATACTTTTATGTGTCAGACATCAGGAGATATTTATAAAATTTAGTGGTTGTCAGATCTTTCCTGAAGTAGATTTTTTATTTGCTGTCGCTTGTTCAGAGATTCAGATCTTCGTTGGTTGATGAAGAAATCAGAGACCATGTTATTAAGATAGTCATTTCACCACTGATTCTGTGGTTGGTGGATTGTCACGACTACAAAATTTTTACTGTTGTACAAAGTGCACTTAGAGTAAAGATAATATTGTATATATGATGGATAGATTTCTGTCAACACGAATAGATTCCTATGTAGATGACAGTGTAGTGACGAACTCTATGTCAAAAACATGCCCGTAATGATGCTTTTTAAGGTTTTTGGCTGTTCATAGTAAGAACTCAGTTGTTCCATATTAGTTTGTTTATTAGATGTATCACACATTGAAACAGTGTTATTTACAGTATCTATTTATTTACAGTGTTATTTGCAGTAAATAATACTGTTTCACTGTGTGATACATCTGATAAACAAACTAATATGGAATTACTTACTACCACAGTGTCCAAGTTTTACACATATATTAAAAGAGCTCAGTTGTGCGGAACAAAATATTTTATGTATTAGACTGAGTCACACTGTTTGTGTGAGGGTTGACGTTGTTACACAGTTTGTCCAGTCTGAAGTATGGTGGTATTCGAATCCAAACAAATTAAGTATTTCTCTGTAATTCATTGTTAAACTGTATTTCCGCAATCATTAGGAAAATGGGGGAGAAAATCAACCAGAAACGGTAACTGTTGGGTCCCAGTGGTGTACTGGTCTACAAGCTCACCTTGTAACCAGAAGGTCTAGGGTTCGAACCCCGGTGGGTGCGTATTGATGGGGAATCCCAAACTAGGACGAAACAACTGTCCAGTACTCTCAGGTCTTCCAGTGGTTCTCTAACTGATGTCAGCTCATGATGAAATCTTCCAACTAATAAGCTAGTTTCATTTTGTACCCACTGAATTAATGATCACTGACTTTTCACTGCATGAATATGATTCTCTAAAGATTCACACCGAAATTGCATTCATTCTTTGTAAATAACACGATTTGTAGTGAAACTCCACTTTTGCAAACCAAAAAGAAAATATTCAGATCACAACACATGTAGTCTGTATGTTACTATGAAAAAGGCGATGAAGAAGACAACAGTATACGAATATTTGATGATATTAGATGGTTGGAGGCAGTCGGCAAGAGGCCTTGGGCCTAGGTTTCGGGCTAGTTGGCACTCATCAGCGAGATGTGTCTGCAACTGCGTAGAAGGAACTCATATCTTTTCTGAGATTCGAACCCGCGTCACCCAGTGAGTACTGCAGTCAGAGACGTTACCACTGAGCTATCTGGGCTGGCAACAGCACTGGGTGACAGGTTCGAATTTCAAAAGCGAGATGAGTTCCTATAAGATTGACCGGTGAATGCAAACACGAACGAAACGTAGGTCCAAGGTTTCCTGTCGATTGCCTCCAAGTATCTAATATCATCAAATCAATATGCACCGTGATGACGAGCTATCTAGAGTGGTGGACACATTGCAAACCTGACTGATACAATTCAGTCTGCACCAAAGAAAGGACAAAATACATCACACTAGTTACTAGTGTCCAATCAAAGTATAGAAATATTATAATATACCATCGGTTTATAATCTTGTTGATAACTATTCACACTCAAATATTCGAATCACATTTACAGATATTAGTGTTTGTTATAGGGAGCTCACAACTACTGATACTCATCGGTAGTGTATACCATCTTGTGTTGTACAATATTTTCTAGGATCGCATTGCAAAAAGACAATATTTGAGTTATTATTTGCTCATGATGGTATTCCTGAAATCACTCATTTTGTGCTAACTTTAGGCCTTCGTTAGTTCAGAATTGCACATTTTTCGACATAAACATTTTGCTAGATTATGTTCCAAGTGCTTTAGTTTTCTGTTGTACGTCACTAGCAGAAACGTCAGTTTTTCCATTGATTTCGCCATACTTAGTTGACGTTCTCTAGACAATAATGTATTTCAGGGGCATTATTCCTTATTATTATTTGTAGTCTTAATTAGGTTATCGTAATATGAAGTGACTCACATATCTTATGCGATTTTAACAAATTCTTTATCCGCATATGTTAGAAACGGAGAATATTTGTAATCTAAGTAGTGTGATTTAGTGTTATTTTGGAGCGGGACTTCAATGACAATTTCAGTGTCATTCTCAGTACAAAAAGGAGTGTATTTTCCGTTCTGTTAAATTTTGTTATCTAGCATAAGGCTTTCCAGTAAATATTTAACTGTACATTTCACTAATTACTGTTATTCCTTTGTATGAATTCATGGTTTTTCCACTCACATGTTTAACTTATTTCAATGTTATTTTCTTCATTGGGTTTTTTCCCCAAAGGACTACCAACGAGGTCAAAACCAGAGAACGTCTGGTCAAGTCTCAGCGTTAGCATCCAAATCAAGGACATGTAAACCAGTCCAAAGCTCAGTGGCTCCCCCTCCAGGATTTAATCATCAGAACCAGCCAAAACAGAAACAGTCGTCTTTATCGTGTAAACTGGAGATGGAAACAATAAATTTAACCTCAAAGAAATCTATTTTAGCTTTAATTGGATCAGATCAGCGTTATCGCGCACCTGCTAACAACATCCATAATAATGATAGTAAAACTGAGTCGACTAACATGATGATTGAATCACATAGTTTAGAACAAAAACACGTTTTGCCAACACGTGAATTATCTAAGAGCAAGAAAAGTGATCCTATTACAGCAAGTGATGTTTGCCCAACAACAAATATAACTGAGGATAGCCAACGGCAGCACGAACCATTCACGGACAACTCGAAGGAAAAACAGGTGGATCAAATATCTGAGCAGATTGTAGATAAACAGGTATTTATTGGATTTTTTCATTAATAACTATGCATTCTGTATCTCGGATTCAAGATCAATGAAAGATGATCCTAGATATTCTGCTTTCGTCTGTAAGAACTGGTGTGTGTGTGTGTGTATGTGTAGACTCTGGCTAGCATTTAAACAATATCCCGGGGATTATTTCTCTTGAGAGTCTATTTTGATGTCAAAAATGAAGGTTTTGAGTCATAGATGTCTTCATTAGCAAGTCACAGCGTAACCATTCTAGAGAATGCACAGTACTAAATCAGTTGAAGTGATTGTAATTCCTAACCGACCGAGGTAACTAACGAAGTGAGTCTCTTCTCAAATGAACACTTTTGAATGAATTAAGATTACGTGTAAAATCATACAGTCAGCTGAAGACATCAATTTGTGAAGAGTGTGACTATTGGTTTGGGTTGTTTAGGGGTCGTCTAAATGTTAGAAATTAACGACTACTATGAATTAGCAACATAGTCATAATGACATCTCGTTTTTGATTCATTTTTCATTACCATCAAAATAATGAACCTGACAGACAGCTTTTACGTGTTCATCACGGGTTGATATCAGTTAGCGAAACATCGAAAACCAGCTGTATAATCCTAGTTTGAGAATCATTGGCAGTAAGCACCCACTGGGGTTTTAAAACCCAGGACCTTCTGGTTACAAGGTAAGCTCGTATACCATTCAGCCACTGGGACCCGATTCAATGGCTCATGAATTCTAACTTCTACCAATTCGTGATTTTGCGCGACCCCAGTCAATGTCGTCGGTGGGCTATCCATCCTCACACTTTACTGACAGCTTTTGTTCTGTCTAATAAGTTCTTAATGAAATTTAGAATAAAAAATCTTGGATTATCACACGTTTCCAATCTTATTACAATATATTTCTTCGTATCATCAAGATCACTGCATTGAAATCAAGTCAGTTAGCCAAAGTTTAATATCCAGTTTTGTTTTGTTTGCGTAGTTTCTGTTAACTTCTTTGAGTGTTACCCTAATAATGTAGCCAATTAAAATAATATAAATTGTCAACTTTTATGTTAGTTTGCCTTTCTCGTTTACACTATCAGTGTCCGTTAAACCGTTTAAGTTGAAGAAGTTGAAATACACATTATATTCGAAACTTCATTATCAAGAAGCTACAATACATGATGCAATGCTTCTGGCAGTCTTTGAAATAAGTCTACTGTCAGCCGAGATCACTAGTAGATATAAAGATTTCCATTGTTATATATATTGAAAGGGTTTGTTTATGGAGCTTTCTGCACCGGTCATTATTTTCCAGTACTAAGAAAAATAGTTTTTTTCTGATTTATTGTCTAGTTTTTCTCTCTCTGCGTTACTTATGTTTCTTGTTCACAACAGTCTACTACTGAAGATATTTTAACCAATCCTCAAGTGAATCACGTGAAGAATTTCACTTCTAAATGCAGTGAAAATGTGAACACAGACGTTGGTAAAGGATGTGATGGTGATAACAATAATGACGATGAGGATACTGGGGATAGCGATGATGATGATGATGATGTCGACGATGATGACGTGGATGTTGACGAGGATGATGATGACGAAGATGATGATGATGATGATGACGATGATGATGATGATGAAGACGAGGATGATGAAGTGAAATCCAATCCGGTTACTTCAAATGCGCCAAACACAACTGCTTCTGCTGCATTTACAGTAACAACGTGTACATCTACAAATACGGAATCGATCATCACAACAACACTAACCACAACAACTGCTGCTGCTAATACAAATACTACTACAATGACACACTTTGGAAAACCATTTGCTCGTGTCATAAATCTGAATGATAACAAGAATGAGTCGAAAAAGACAAATAATAATAATAAAGACATTGTGGATGTTGTTAATAATTTTCTTATGGTTACTACTAACTGCGCTAACAATGTGGGTAATCAAACGAAAGAGCAGCTTTCACGTAGTCTTTCTTGTCCATATTTATTTTCTCGTTCAATGAGAGGACATTACCATTATCATCATTATCAGAATACACGGCAACAGAAACAATTAGAGAAAATCAATTTAGACCATGTATCTCATAGACGTCAAACATCTGTTCAACAACCCCTTCTACGACCGTCTCAGTCTCCTATAACGAAGGTAAATAATGATACTAATAGTAATGCAATAAACTTGACGTCATTGAAAAAAATAGTAGATGAAACTAATAATTTATGTGAGGATACAAAGAATTCTCAAAATAAGTTGAATCATCCTCAATTGCAACAACAACAAAGTCAGCAAGTGAATATGCAAAACAGTGATTTACACACTACACTGAAACACGATAATTCGGATAATAATATAATTCCAATGAATAAGGAGGAGGAACCCCCAGTATTAACACAGAAACAGGTGAGTCTCTCTTGTTTCGTTACATGTTCTGTTCTGTTCGATTTGTTTTTGTTGAAAAAAATATGTCTATTTTCAATTTATGCCAGTAGATTTTACATATTGAATTTATTACTATCGCATTATCATTCTTTTTTTCATACGTCTGGGTGATTACCTTTGATTTGTTTTTTTATCTAATGGACTGTGTTTATATTATAATTATGTATAACCGTAGACAGTTGATCGTGATGAACCAATATCCCGATGCCTGAATTGCAGTCTCACTAAGTGTGTTTTCAGATCTTTTCATCCACTAAACATTGAACTCACTGATACTGTTCAGTTTGCCTACATTTGAATAATTTGTTACTTTCACTAATTGTTATTTGACATAGGTTTGATCTGCTTGTCTGGTTATCGAGATATTTCTCATTGCGAGGTTCCACGTAGGGATAGTGAGTCATCAGTTACTGCAAGTTATTTGAAGGAGAACATGAGCACATGCACGAGACAGTATGAGAGCTGAAGTTGTTGGAGCGTGAGTCGAAGATGGGATTCATTCACTGGAAAATGTTTGTTTAAGCCGATGAATATTTGTTTTTTTTTGAGTTTGACCACGGATTGATATCAGTTAGAGAACCATTGAAAATCAGGGAGTACTGGACAGCTGTTTCATCCTAGTTTGAGAATCATCGGCAGCATGCATCCACCACCAGAGTTCGAACTCAGGACCTTCCGGTTTTCACTGGTACTCTAACTGATATCAGTCCGTGGTCAAACTTAGAAAAACAAATCTAGTCCTTACAAACCAACTCTTGACAATGAATATTTGATGTTAAAATAATCATCTTTCATCGGCGTTGCAACTTTTATTCACTCCAAATGGTCTATTTCAAATTATGTTTGCTTCTCATCCTCAAATGACTTCATAGACTGTATTACTGTCAAATGTCGTCCCAAACATCTCCCCAAATATAAACATATCTTTGTTACTAACATGTACATTTCTCCCAGTTGCTCACTATCTGATCTTTCAAATTTGCTGACGAATTCACCATGTTTGCCGCTGCCAACTTCGACAACTCTCTATCTGTTATTACTGGTGATTTCAACTCTTCAGATTGCTCCTTCCTTGAAGCACTTGGTCACACAAACATAGTCAAATTTCCCACTCGACTTGACAAAACACTCGATTTAGTTTTTACTAATGACGAAGGAGTATATGAAATACGTAAATGTGCACCGATACTTAACTCTGATCACTGTTTTACCAAAAATATACAGCAAAACACATATTAAAGTCTTCGGACACTTGTCTATGAAAGCACAACAAAGATGCTACTCATCTGACAACTTACTCAATCTAAGGTGCATGTTAAAAATTATAACCGGGACTTATTCTATGAAAGTACATTAGATGGCACAATTGCCATTATAACGGATTATTTTAAGTTCTGCCTTGATATATGCTGTCCCAAACAAGCACTATTCAAACGCCTCGACCGCTTCTCGTCTCCTTGTTTCAAACAACTTCGCAGGCAAAAAGTTAGGACTTAAAAAGATTGATGCTCAAATCAAATCTGAAATCAAAAATCTTAATGCTACCTATAACAATACACTTTTATCATGCAAATCTCCTATCAGCATGTGAGAACTTTTTAATGAAATTACTGGCAATAGTAAGCGATGTAATGTTTTTCCCTCTTATGATGTTAATGTTCTTAATCAGTCTTTTATACGCTGTCCTTCTATTATAACTACATCTAATGTTACCAATCATGTAGCTGATAACTTTCATGACTTTAATGCTCTCGATGTTCTAAAATGTCTTAAAACGCTTAAGCCCTCACGTAGCCTTGGCCCTGATGGTATTCCTGCATATGTTTTAAAACAATGTGCAGATGCGTTATGTTCTCCACTAACTAACGTCCTAAATGCTTCTTTCTCCAAAAACGTTGTACCTGTTGCGTGGAAAGACATTAAAATAGTCCCTGTCCCTAAACCTGGCATTAGCAAGAACGTAAAGTTCAGACCCAATGCAACCACTTCCCCGTTTCTAAAGCTTCTAAAGCTAGTACTTCTTAAACTTGAACCCTCCCTTAAAAGCTTTGAAGACCCCAAACAATTTGCCTATAGACAGGGTAGGAGCACTTTAGACGCTGCAGCCGTCTTACACAACAGTATCGTCACATCATTAGATAAAGGTGCCAAATTCGTCCGCTGCACGTTTCTCGACTTCACTTCTGCTTTCGACTCTGTACCTAGATGTCTCTTGCTAAATAAGCTCTCTATGACACAAACTGAGTCCTGGGTCACTAACTGGTTGCATTCCTACTTCTCTAACAGAAAGCAGTACACTGTATACAAAGGTAAATCCTCCTCTGCTGCACTCACTGAAGCTGGTGTCCCCCAAGGTGCTGTACTCTCCCCACTTCTCTTTTCTTTCTTTCTACATGACATTAATTTTTTCAAATATGCTGACGACCTGACAGTATCTTTGCCCTTCAAATGTCAAAGTGACTGCTCTAAACTAAATGGCTTTCTATCAGAAATCAGCCAGTGGTCCAAGGAAAACGGTCTTACCTTAAACCCCTCCAAATGCCAAACAGTCAATTTCACCTTTAGGCATAAATCCGACCTAAACAAACTGGTTAGCTCTCACGAGGTGTGCAACATAGATGGCACTGAAATAGAAACCAAGTCGGAAATTAAATACCTAGGCGTCATTCTATCTGCTGATCTTTCCTGGTCGTCTCATATCTTGACGATTTCTAAGAAAATATTCTGTCTTACCTTTTACATCAAGAAGTTAAGACATTCTGGTATAACCCAACCCTTACTCCTACGATTCGTTAACTCTCGCATTCTGCCTATTATTCTCTATCGTTCCCCCTTAGTTTTTCCGGGGCTACTGAAGAAAGACTATACCTTATTACGCAGGTTGTTAAAGGTTGTCAGCAGGGTAAGCAACGTGCCACTTAACCAGCTTGTTAATATTCTGGTTGACAGGCACATGGACTCATGTGAAAAATGGGCTAAATACATTTTATCTAACTCACACCACTCTCTTCATTCACAACTCTCCCCTTGCATCTCATCAGACAAAACCAGAAGCCTATATAGAAAACTATATGCTCGCACTAGCAAGTACAAAAACTCAACCATACCCTAATTAGCTCGTGGTCTGTGCGATAAAGAAAGCATTAGGCGTGACACCTATAATTCATTAAATAGTCAATAGAACAACTAGACCTCGTCTTTCCAACTCATATCATTTATAGGTACAACGTTTTCTTTCTTTCTTTTCATTTTCTATCTTTTTTTCTGTTATGTGCTGCTTTGTTTCTTTCTTCCGCTTACGCCAGTAAATATGATAGCACCTACTTTTCTAACACCTTCAAACACTGTTCAATTTTGGCTTTGCTACCGATATGTCAATATGTTGTCATAATGAACTGAGATCTCCTTAATCTATGTAGAATTTTATGTACTTTATTTATTTATGTAATATGTATTTTGATAATGTACTAACTGGATGCAATACTGTAGTAAAATGCTGAGAATTCCATTCTGTATCACAAGTACTGTTTTGGAATAAAGCAAATTATTATTATTATTTAACGTGTCTGTGTGTGGGTGAGTTTGAACATAGTTTGAAGGTATTTAGTAGTAAAAGGCATCCACTCCTTGTGACTTATAATAGCTAATGAAACTATATTGTTCTTCTTTATTACTATTCTTTTTGTCTCATATGTCTGTTTACTATCTCTACTTTGCATTCCTTTTACATTCTTCCCTTGCTTTGTGTGCTACATAAAGCAGTAGCGACTCGAACTGCTGCACATCGGTGCAATGTTTTATGTTAAAACCAGTCAGTCAAGTAAAAGGCACCTAAAAATATAAATGGAAGACTACAATATTTTCTTGTTCTCTAACTGTTCATAAGTTCAAATTTTTCAGAGTCACTATTCCTTCGACTGATTACCATGGATTGATATCCCTTAAATTATATATATATAATATATATATATATATATATATATAATTTTTGTAGGTATACTATTGGAATATAATTATAATTAATTTGAGTATCTGTACTGTCTTGTAATTAAATTAGGAAGTAATTTCATTATGATAAGGTTTTTGTATTTCCCAATGAATGAAAAACAAAACGATATTGTTTTTACTGACGTTTCGCTATTTCATGCTAATAGCTTTATCAAAGTATTAGGAAGTAATTTCTTTACTCATAAGCAGGATCATTCGAGAACAAGATTTATAGTAGTAATGGTTTATTATCACAGAAAGCTTGTCGGAGGGGGACAGTAGTAGTATCAGCACTATACTTAGTCACCAAGCAAATTTTTGGTTTACAACAATAATAAAGACACAAATCAATATCGCCAGGTGAATGGGAACAACCAATAGAATCGGTATAATGAATTAGTTCATACATGTATAATAGATTAACATCGTATTATTACATTAGATGCCGAATAGACAAGACCATTTGACCCAATGTCTCTCGCGAGCTGATTTAATGTATAAATGCAGGAATATTTGCAAATTAGCCCAGCATCCCACTTCTAGTATTTCTTTTTTTCTAATTTCCCTAGTGATGTATTCATCAGTTTACTCGAAGCGTATAAATTTGATAATGTGTGACTAGTTCATGTTGTCTCCGAGCCTTATTTTCAAACTCTGAAGTTGAATATTCAATTATTTTACTGTTCGCATTCTATTCGCATTAAAATTTCAGGTTACTCAGCATAATAAATCTATGGATGTGCGGACTAGGTCACCTGTGAGACCTCATAAACAAACTTTACCTCATTATCCGCATGGTTATGAAAAGTTATATTTACTGCCCAGTGGCAGTGACGCTAGTAATCCTCCTGGACATTATCTTCATCGTGTTGGTACGAAGCCAGGGGTGAACCGTTTGCTACCACCACAGCCAACAATAACAGGGGCACCTTTTCAAACCAATTCAACAACTCAATATTTAGACCAAAGAATATGTATACGATTACCGAATGATGCCAGTAGCCGACCATTATTAACTAATAATCATGTTCATCGTGAAAATGTCCCCAATGTGAGTAGATTTCCATCTAACTATACTTCAAATATGATACCTTCAAGTCAGCAAGTTATCTCTAATCCATTGTTACAGACTACTGAGCAATCGAATCAGCTAGCTTCAACTACTGTTAGCTCCGGCTCTGTGATAGGTGGCAGTGGACCAGATTCATTTTTCACCAGTCAAATGACTGCGTTTAAAATATGGTTACAGACAGCTGATGAAAGACGTCCACCAGCTACTCAACTTCCAATTTTGTTACAGGTTAGTAAGATTAATTAAATTGTATTTTAAAGTTCCTTAGTTTTCGCTACAATAGGTTGTTTATCTAATCGGTCTACTGAGAGTCAGACATTTAGATTTAACTTTAGTTGATTAATACTACTTTCACGTAAAAATTGTGTTCGTGAAGACAATAGTTTTATAATGTTAATGGTACAGTGCTATTAAAATCGCTAGGATCATTTAGTAGATGTCTTGAGTAAACATTTGTTCATGCTTGATATACTTGAAAATTTACTGAAACTGGAATTGACCAAGCTGGATAGTGGATCTACGGAAAATGCAAAGTATGAGAATTTCATTTTGCCAAAAGTGTACTCACTATACAGATTCTGATGAAACAGTTGGAATTTACCGTAAAATATTTGGAAAAAATACGTTATTTAATATCCGTTATAAAAATTTTAATTTATCCAAGGAGCGTTGTAATGATTGTCTTACTTTTGCTGGTAAAGTGATTCGTGTGCATGGAAATTTACAATTAAGTTCACTTACCCAGGATCTATCCAAATGTCCAATCTTCACCTGTGGTTTACCTACTCCAACTGACTCAAAAATTAGAACACATTCTATCTTGTATTGAACAGAATCCTACAATGATACTGCAAGAGTTTGCAGTTGGGTGTCAGAAGCTGATAAACTTAAAGCATGATGCATAACGATTAAAAATAACCTTCCTTCAGGTGGTTCTTTTTATTCAGTCAAATCTAAACCAAATTCTTTAAGATCTTCAATTCCTCCAACAGTCGTCAAGCCTCCCACTGCTTGTGGGTTCTGTGGAGTTTGGTGTTACGGTTGTTTTTCCCCACACACAAGATATACAAATGTAGAAGATGCTAGGAATATGGGCATTATGAAGATTTTTGCAGGCCTAATCGTGTTAGTAATCATTCAAATCTATCCAGTGATAGATAGATGTCCGATTTCAGGAAAAACAGAAACAACTTCCAATGTTATTGATATAAGTATAAAACTTGGTCACTGTGGTTGAGTATAACTCCATTATAGATAAGATTTTATTTTGATAAATCACACAGTGTAATACAGTAATATTAACTGATGACGTTTCGAGCACAAACTACTGCTCATAATCAATAGTATGAGCTCCAAACGTCATCAGTTAATATTACTGTATTACACTGTGTGATTTATCAAAATAAAATCTTATCTATAATTGTAACAACAGAAGACAAGGGCCAGGCAACAGATCAGTTTTATTACGAAAATCAACAGGTATTTATATGTACTTTACGTACATTTATAGGCTTCTGCCCGCAGAAAGGAGGCGGTCTTCTGATTGGTCGTTTGCAAACAAACGCAGTCTTCTGCTTTCTCGTTTTCGATATTTCTCGGAAATGCGAGCCACTTGTCTGCGAATCATATTTGTCCACGTCTAGGTCAGCTGTGATCGGTTGTTGAATCAGCCTGGATTAATTTCGACCAATCAGCGTAGATCAATGTCTACCAATTGGCTAGTAGCTTGCTCTCACCACACTCGTCCCCCCGTCAAATAGCTTCGACTGAATTCGGCTCGGTCTTCTCGGTTCTTGGGGCTTTGCTCTGTTGTCTTGCTGTCTGGAATCTCGGTGCTTGTGGATGTCCACTTGTTTAACGGTGTTTGCCATTGCGATTTTGTCTGCGTAACCCCATCTCAACGTGACCATATATGGTCCTTCCCACTTTGGAAACTGTTTGCCTGACCCTGTCGCACATTCGTAGGTATTTCGCCTCACACTTCCATATGCTGCTTTCTCCCGACCTCCCAGCAGCGTCCCAAGTAGCAGCCTCATCGCTGACAGATCTTGAACGCTACTCAACTGCGAAGAAGCCTCGAAGTCCTGCGCGAAGATCCATATGTCTCCATCAAAAACTGCAGGGCATAGGCTTTCCATTTGTCGGTAGGCAGCGACACCAAATTTTCAACCAATTTCTTCCAAGACACTGTGCCGTTTGACCGGTCTACGCTGTCATATGCCGCCTTCGCTCGGCCTCTCAACAGCGTCCCCAGAACAACTGCCTTCGCCGCCTGCTCCTTGACACCCACCAGCTCAGCTATGGCTTCGAAATCACGTAGGAAGCTCCGTGTGTCTCCCTCCTCAAACGCAGCTGGCCACGGGATCTTCATTTTTGCGGAGGCAGCGACACCAAATGTAACAACAGAAGACAAGGCAGGCAACAGATCAGTTTTATTACGAAAATCAACAGGTATTTATATGTATTTTACGTACATTAATAGGCTTCTGCCCGCAGAAAGGAGGCGGTCTTCTGATTGGTCGTTTGCAAACAAACGCAGTCTTCTGCTTTCTCGTTTTCGATATTTCTCGGAAATGCGAGCCACTTGTCTGCGAATCATATTTGTCCACGTCTAGGTCAGCTGTGATCGGTTGTTGAATCAGCCTGGATTAATTTCGACCAATCAGCGTAGATCAATGTCTACCAATTGGCTAGTAGCTTGCTCTCACCACATAATGACCTTCCAATGTTCCCAAAGTGGAAGCTTTGAATAGATGGAAACATATCATCTCAACACTGCCTTAAGTATAGCCCGAAAATCTCTCAACCCATCGTGTTACTAAAATGCTTTTTGAGGTATTTTAAAACGAATTAGTTAAATTACTTGCTGTGCTAAATTTGGGTCAAACGACTGTAAAGGACTCTGTCGTGGTCATGATCTGTACATCTTGTTTGTTGATTAGATCGACAAACTGTCCTTCTTAATTTAGTTTCTTTACAAGTATTGTGCATTTCTTTAGACAGATGTTGATGGACGAATCAATAACTTGACCAGTGTTCTATGCAGTTGTTGCAAGTGAACAATACGAACTAAACTACCAGTAAAAGCGCAATTACGATCAAAAGTACTACGAAAATCGCAGAGATTTCAATAACCCATCAAGTGTTTTAAGGTGGTTCACCAATCGAAAATCGGTTTAAAAAACAGGATATATTAAGACTAGTAGACATATTTTGGCTCCTTGTCTACGTGACTGGTTAACCAGACCTTTTACCCTAACTTAAATTAAGGGTCAAGTTAGTGGAGTTCTTACCAGCATACATCAAGTTAAAGTGCTAAGTCGCAAGAAGCAAAGCGTAGCCCTTTTGGTCACAAATTGTGATTTTTCAGGAACACAAATTGACACAAAATTCAGTCAAGAATTATCAGCCTATTAAATGACAACGTTATCCTTAAACCCATGGGCAAGTATCCAATGTCTTATCATTTCTAATGTGTTTTTTTCAATCTTCGATTTAACATGGTTACAAACTCCTATGTAATTTCTGTGAAAATCCACCTGGGTTAGATTAGTTTTAAAGCCTTTATTTGGCAACAAAATCTTTTTCTAAATTAAATGAAAGTCCTTATCAGTGTTGTCTGCTTCAGTTCTGTACATTTTTTCCTCATTCATTAACAACTTTCTAGATTTTATTAAGTCAAAGTCATCGAATTCGTGCAATGCAATTGTTAAGTGAGTTCCTTGACTTAGGACCGTGGGCTGTGGCTCATTGCTTAACTGTCGGCATATTTCCCTACATAGTTCGATTATTTCATTCACCAGTGCCTGAAGTGAAGCCACACTTAGTGTTCATCTGGGGTAAAATCATCGCTAGCGCACAGGTGAGTCATAATTACTATTGACTGTTAATATTAAACGTTCAAATGCTTATGTTATATTGTAATGCATTGCGTGAATAGCCGAGTGATAACTTCTCTAATTACAGCTCTGGGTAACGCGAATTAAAATTCTTGACTGCATAACAGTTCTTCCGAGGTTACAGGTACTCCTTGTTGATATGAGGTATAACAGATTCGAATCATTTTAAAATCTTAATGGAGAGGTGACTCATTTGTCTAAGCACTGAACTTCTTGTCAGTGAGTCCCGATTTCGAGTCTCGCTCTACCTACTTTATCCTAGTCATCCTAGCAGTATTATTAGGCCATATACAACGTCTGCCTCATGTTCTGGCATGTGGCAAATCTGTTCCTTATAAGTCAGAGGTTCCACAACTTGTTATTTACTTACTGCGATTCATGTGTTCAATAGTGGTTATTAATTATGACTAAGGTGTAGGTGACGACACGAAATGTGTTGTTGGCTTACAAAAAGGCTTTTCTGAACATTTCTCTACGTAAGCCGCCTGTTCAACGGGGGAATATACTAGAATTTTAATTTAAAAAACCTAATATATATACTCTCAACTAGCACTGATGAAATGTAGGTTGGTTTAGCAGTGAGTGCGATACTTCGCCCACGGAAAGACCTCTACACAAGGTCAGTTTGTCTTGCACAATATATGACCTAAAATATTTCGATGTTTAATGATGGTTTGTTGGTCTATGCATAAACTTTCAACCGGTTCTAATCCACACTTCACCTGTTGAGGTTTGGTCAGCCAGGTAGTTTCTCTATTCCTCACACTTTAGGTGTGGCTGATTACCAACTGCATATAATTACAAGTGGTTGTTGATAAAATAACATTTTTTCTTCTCAATTATGAAACAACCACTGTTGAAGATAAGGAAAATGTGGAAAGACTATTGGTTCTTAACCATAGTTTATAATTTCCGAGCGGTGTGATTTCGATGTAGAATGTTGAAGGGAACATGAATTTTCTTGAGACTGAAAGTGTGTTTATTCAGTAAATACTAACTAACATAAAGTCTTTGATGAAGACTTTGACATAGACTTCGTGTTTATTTGCAGTCATGAGCAAGGTGATCTACAGATGCGATTCTGTGCTATCTAGTGTTTCAGCCAGAGATGTTACCAATGAGTTATTCCGACTAACAACTGACTTCCTGTAGGGCTGTTTTTGGGTACATTAATTTGTTATGGTGGCGTAATCAATGTCATGTGCTTAGTTCTTGTTGTGGATGTTATCATTCAAGAGTTCAGCCAACCAATACACATCCTTGTAACATGGAATTCGTAATGACTGTACACAGTGAACAGATACTTCATTGTTTTGTACATTTTGATGTGTAGATTTAAACAATGATTATCCGTGTTTGTTAGTTACAATATGACAAAAACAAAACAAATATGGATTTTTTTTTCTTTGATAGCTGTATTATGATATACATATTTTAATTAGTATTCATTCTTTGTGCTTACTAACCATTTATTATCAGCAGAATAGACTAATCCAAGCGCATGCGTGTATGTGTGTGTGTATGCATGTGTGTGCATACGATGATGATAGCATACTGACACGTGATTGACTATGTCATATGCTCTTTTCAAGGTTTGATTTATTTGTTTCTCAAAGTCTTAATTATCTAACTACATACGTTGATAAAAATAATCACCTTATTCTTGCGTCGTAATTGTGCTAATTGTTTGACTGTTTTTTTTTGACCTTCGGTTATAAATTTTAAAAAGTCACTAATAACCACATTAACACTAGCTGCCATTTTCTTCGTCATTGTCAAGAGTTGCGAGTTGTTGTAGCAACCCATAGGTTCACTTTTTGAGATCTGTTAGCAGTCATGATCATAGTTGTGTTTTTAATTTAGATATTATTGTTAAGTAGTATAGTTAGACAGTTTTTTTTATTATGAGCGTTAGTTTTCTTTCCATCTACTGTTTAATTTGAGTGCCTTCAAACGGCTTCAGTCAGTCATTAGCAGCAAATGCCATCATGCTACAAAGTTATCTTTAATATATATATATATATATACATATATATATATATATATATACAGAGAGAGAAGTAATAAAGTGAAAGAGAAGATGTGGTTCTGTGGCTTACACACTCCATCTCCGAATCCAAATCGCTTCCTATCCATCTGATTCAGCCTGAGCAACTAGTTAGTATCATCAGCTCTTGCACAATAGGTGTGTGTCTCATGTAACCTGGTTCATAGAGAATCTCTTTTGGGTAATTTTTGTGATCAAATAATGTCAGAAGGTTCCAAAATAACTGCCACTCTGGGGCCAAAATGGTATTAAGTAAGACAAATAACGATTAGAGATAAAATAGACTGATGATTAGGAGAATAAATATGACAAAGGATAATAATTTTAGTCCAGATAGGAAACTGATCATAGTAACCATGGTAAAACAGTTTGAACTTATGAATATATATGTAAAACTTGGGCGCTGTGGTAGTAAAGTAATCCCATATTAGTTTGTTTATTAGATGTGTCACACAGTGAAACAGTAATATTTACTGGATGACGTTCCGAACAAAAATTTATTGTTCATAATTATATCATATCATAATTGATGATATGATATCATACTTTTCTAACCACACTAAGCTGTGTTCACGAGCAGGTTTTAGAAGCAGATGCATGGTACGGATGATGTTTTCCTCTGATAAATACACTTTCATGCCTCTATGTTTCAATCTGTTTTATACAATCTGTTTTATATATATATATTCTCTGTTTTCTCTAGACGGAATTCGGTCGCAATGATTCTGTCCGTGATTTCGGCTATAAATATTTTATCACTTGTCTAAGTGATACAGAGAATCTTTCTGTGAGTTATAAAATTTTCTTTTTGTTTATTGAGTAGAATTTCTCTGATTACACACTTTTTCCCTTCCTTAAATTATCGATTAGAACCGTTTCAAAGAGACTATTATGTATAGAGTGAAGAATATAAATATAAATCAAAATTTTGTCCATGGGTAAGAGAAGATTATTCTCCGTTGTATGGGTTCGCGCGTACTGCAATCATGCTGCATTCATTGAGATGCTGAAGTTCGTCCTAAGCCCACTGGAAATAGAGATTAGACTTCGATTCCCAATTATTTTGCGTGCTTGAGTACTTGTAGTTGTAATGTTTTCTCATATACATATATATATATATATATATATATATATATATATATAATGGTGGCGCTATGTCGTGATTTGACAGAAGTTGCAATTCATGGATTGTCCATTGGATCGGGTCCCAGTGGTGTAATGGTCTGCATGCTCGCCTTGTCCTGGTTTCCAACGCTTGCGGGTGTTCGTACTGATGAAGATTCCCAACCTAGGCTGACGAAACACCTGTCCAGTACTCCCAAGTTTTCCAATAGTTCTCTAACCGATTTCAGCTAATGATGAAATCCTACGTTTACTTTAATTCACCACCTTACGTTGTGACACTTTCAAATGGAAGTTGTGGGAGAGACATTGTAGAGGGTCAAATAAATGCTCTTAACAAACAGAAGTATTGAATAGAGACTTCAGGGGAATTCACAATTTTCCAGAGACTGAGTGGCAATTCCAAGGTGTTTAAAATGTATTATTTTCATTTCAAATGTAATCTGTTTTAACAACTTTTTGAATAAAAGTATATGATGATAAATCACACTTATGATCACAGCACAAGGGACCGTCATTCTTTTTAACTTTATGTACTGTTTGACGCTTAATGAAATCCGGGTAATTTCGCTTAAGAAGCTATCGCTCACACAACAAAACTTTCACGAAAAGATGGTTGTAATTTTAAACTCTCTGGATTTGTATTTTAAATCATTTTATAAATTGTTTAAATTTAATTCTATAAGTCTGTTAATCACTTCGGTTAAGTGCAAATGGTATCGTTTCTGATGAATGAAATAACCGATATAAAATGGACTCACTATCGTGGTTCATCCTAATGATTTCAGGTTGTTAAACATTTATTACACGGATCTTATTTCCCCGCTCCTGTCCGAAAGTCTACCTTAGCGTTACTGTGTAAATGCGAGTTGGATTTGGCTTAATATTCGCTAAGATGTATCAGTTATCTACATAGACAGATATTTTGTGTGAGTTGATTGCGAATGTGTCTTGATTGATATTCACTTGTAAAGCAGATCTAAGGGGTGCAGAATTTAGGTGATATTAGCTTAAAGTCAGTCACACTAATGGAATTGCATTCATATTTCATCTTCGGATGAATACCACTTGCCAGCGATCAGGAAACGTAGGTTCAGGTTTCTGCATAACATAACTTGCAAAAAGATTTAACTTAAGATGAAGGAAAACACAGTAAAAACATAGTTTTTAGTCTTACTTCGCTTTCTGACTACACTGCTATTTATTTGATTGACAAATTCGGATCAATATTTAGTACTAATCAACTGTACTAATTTCTCTTCCGTAGTTGTTTCTCATAATGCAGTTCTTATTATTTGATCAGCAAAGTGACCAACTGTTAGGTGGATTCGAATTTTTAAAAGGTTTGTATTTTCCGATGTGAAATTATCTACTCTTTTGTTTTTTACCAGCCGGTTCTAAGCTTGGAAAAGAGGGGGAAGTTCAGCATGTGGCTAGCGACCCTACCCTCGTAAAAAAAACAACCACATTGATACTGAAAATTCAAAGCACGGAAAAAATCAATTCATTTTTTGCTGGAATCAGAGAGATTCCTCAATTTGAGGATGGGAAGATGCCGACTGACTAAGACCAACAGGAAGCCATTTGGCCTCGGTGTCTTCTGATGAAACAAAGTAAGCCTAGGGACACGGAATGTTTACATCCCGAATCGGGGTCATGAGAAAAAAGAAGAACAAAGCCTAGCCTTGAGGAACTCACCAACCAATCACAGCAAACTTACCGTGGGCAGATACTATTCGCAGACATATGACCGGACTGTCCAAGAAACAGCCACAAAGAGGTGACAGAATAACCTTCAGCAAGAAAACAACCAATCAGAAGATGTTGCTTCTCTGCTAACAATAAAGAGTAATAATATACATAAAAATCTATAAATATCTGTTGATTTTCTCAATAAACGATATTTTGCCTGGCCCTTGTCTTCTTTTGTTACAGTAGACCCAACGAATTGTTAAATGAAAAGTCAATAATCTACTCTGGTCACCCAGAGAGCAACAGGATCATATAAAGGATGTGAGTACCACGATATCACCAGCAGCATCAAAAGCTCTCATGAAGTGGGAACCAATCTCCTCCAGAATACTGGCAGCAAGATTCAACTCAAGCGGAAGGAAACGTACAATTATACAATGCTACACATGCACAAACAACGCAGGCCAAGAAAAAACGATGGATATCTAAAGACAGGGGCATTCAGTGGTAGACAAAATCCTGCTTTAGAGGTTTACATCAAAATTGTAATAGGAGTGCCAAGTAAAGAGCAAACAACACAGGAAGCGAACTCTCCATTTGTTGGAAGGAATGAATGGTGCAGTGAATGAATTTGCGTCTCTAGTTATTTTTGTTGATTGTGGCAGTCTGGATCATAAGATAAACTGTAGGGAGTGAGAGGATGGACACATGTTGGACCGACAAAAAGACCCTTATAGATCTACTTTTACGACTCCTTTGATCACTACTCTAAAGTATTCCAGGAAATGTCATCATCACTGCGGTTCTCGTAAGAATTTGAAACCACCGGGACCCACTATGTTGGGTGTCAGAGCAAATACCTGCAGGTGGTGGCACTATAAATCATGAATTGATATAAGTGTTAGATTAGTAGACTATTGGTTATCAATACAGTGGCTGAATGGTGAACAGGTCCGCCTTGTAATCTGTAGGTCCTGGGTCTGATTCTCAAAAGTGTTATGGCTGCTCACGGATTAACAATCTCATACTAATGCGAAGCAGCTGTCCAGTCCTTCTTGGTTTCCAGTGGTTATCTAATGATGTCATTTTGTTATCAAACTTGAAGCAGATCAAATCCCTGCAACTCAAAACGTGATTAACTCAATGATTGATGCGATTTTATGTGCTTTATTTTTCTCCTCATTGATTGCTCATTTTAATCTTGGCTTAAGAATTTATCATGAAATCTAGTTGCCTTTCAGTTATTTAATTACTATGACACTTTTTTCTCCAATTATCACACGTGTTTCTGCTCACTTTCAGAAATTACAAATCCAATGTTGTCCTTATTCACTGTTTGCGTGTATAGTTAGCTGTGTTTCTAGGAAATTGAGAGGGCAAAACTGACATATATATATATATATATATATATATATTGATTAGGTCGGCTCTGTTTTTAATGAATGTTGAATAAAGACTCAAGGATTTAAATGAATTCCACTGGTCCCCATTGAAATATGTATATATATATATATATATCTGTTTCTTCCGAATAATTGTTTGTCTTATAGATTGTGTGGTATTTTGAAGTTTTACAGACTGTTACATTAATTTGAATCCATCACTGTAGTTTGTATACATCTACTCAGTATTGTGTAATCCTCTCTCCTAAATGGTACAGTAGTACGTGATTCAGTAGATAAGTTTTCATAATACACCTAAAATTAATCAACCTTTTTGTTCATACTTACCTGAAAATGTTTCCTATTCTTATATTAATAATTTCTTAGCTAAAATTTTATGATCCACCTAATTTTGTAGCAGTGGGTTTTTGGTTATTTGTTTTTGTACTTATTCTGTAGTTAAGGTGGTAATACTGATATTATTTTAAAAAAGATGATGTCTGAGTCGTACTTATTTAGACTTCTATCTGTATGTTTGTTTGTGTGATGCAGTCTTTAGAGTTCATCTTAGAGAAAAATAAACACTAACCATAAGTGCTAATGCCTACAAGTGTTGGTGGTTTAGTGTTTTGAATATCCGCCAACCACTCAAATGGTTCTGGGTTCGATTCGCAGCAGACTCACCTCTCAACCTCACTCAGTCGATAGGTAGTCCCGCGATGAGGGATGGTTTGGCGGAAGGCTTAGCAATAGCACCCTGTAGCTAAATATTACCACTAATGAAACTTCAAAGCCCCAGTTTGAAACCCTGTGTTTCAATAGAGGGATGCAGAGGAGTGGAAAAATTAGTGATATCTGCAGCTTCGTTTTTCGTTGGATGTATTTGCATTCTAGATGTCATTGAAGGCGATATTAATGTACAAATCTTCAAAAGCCTGTATGCTAAACAAAGAGTAGTTTGGTCATTAATATCTGGAAATGCCACTTATAAATTAGTAGTAGGGATGGGATCTGATTCGAGTGTGCCCTGGAAATAACTGGGAATCTTTGACCGGTAAGCAGGTATGGGTATTTTTTGATGTGGCTCTTAGTTATCATCATATAGAGTTCATGGACTATGTTTCATCATTTTTGTTTTGAAGTCACTTACAATACCTTGGAGATCATTTACCCGGCGCAAACTTTCATGTATCGGAATATGAGGTGCATTTTTTTGTGAGGGCTACTGGGTTCTCCAAGTAAGTGTCTAGAAGCCGAGTGCTTAAACCAGTGGGTCATATAATCTTTTAAATAGTGCAACTTTTAACCTTCTGTAGGTAATAACCTTTGAATCGGTATGAAAATAATGTTTTATCAAAATCTGAATTTTAACTCCCTGCGGGCATTTGCACACCTGTTAACTGAGTACTTTTGGCTGCTGTATCCTCAACATTAATGTTTAATAGCTAAATGTGTAAGTTAGCTGTTGTCATATCATTTTGATGACAAGTGTGTATGTGAAGCCAGTAAAATGGTTGTCTCAATTATCTAGACATGTCCTAGTTCTGGGTTGATTGTCTTCAGCAGTTACTGAATTAATAACTGTTCATGAAGTGAATTGATCGAATACCTCATCTCGTACACATATTTTCAATATCCAACGATAATTATTACTACTTAAATAGTTTCCTGTCTTTTCTCTGTATTCATTTTGCTTATAGCCTCTTACTCGAACGATAACAGCTTTTGCATTGGCTAAAATGTTAGAAAAAGACCAATCTGGAGAGGTGATTGCATTGTTTATTAACTAGCGAAATTTACTTTTTATTTACATATTTTCAAATTTCTTTTCTGTGTTTTACTATAACCCAAACAAACAGGATTTGCTAGCGTGTATCTAGTTTTAGCACTTGTTGAACTTGATGATGGATTAACCTAGCAGCGTTGTTGTGTAATCACAATCGCTTGATAAGCAATAATCACAAGAATACTACTCCTGCAACATACTAAGCAGACATCGGAAAGAGATTGTGAAGACAGATTATAATAATAATATTAGTAAAAAAAATATGTGATTACTATTGAGTGAAGGTTGTCAACGAAAAAAATATATGTGCTTACTTACTGGTTAACAGTGTACCAAAATATGAATGATACAGCCTTTGAACTAAACCGGTTATGAATAATATTTGATTCACACCTTACATTGTTAAGCTATTGTATTTGACAGATAATTGATTCAGTACCAGAAATGTTTTATTATTTTCTCCCATACACTCTTAATAAAAGTGGTTGATGAGAGGTCCACGCAGAAGCAAAAGTAAAGTTTCTAATTTGCTCAGTTTTGATAGGCAAAACTCATTTAATTGGAATAGATTCAGTTAAACGAATTTCAGTGTGAGATCTTTACTTATTTACTTATTTGACGTCATCAAAATGTATTGACAAGACAAGGATAATTCAGTGGTAAAGGAGCTTCACCTTCTGCTGATTACCCATACATCAGTGAGGTGAATTGCTATACGCAGCATCCCAATGCCGTCTTCCGTTTTCATAACCGTCACTGGTCATCTGTGTTGTTGTTGTTGTTGTTTTCTTTAGGTTATCGGTACAAATTGCTTTGTTATTATACTTTTTTTTAATCAATCCGAACGCTTTATTCAGATGATGACGTTTACTTTAAAATAATCTTTTACTTACTGCCATTTTATCAATTGCATTTTTCATTTTCACAACAGCCTGATGCGTTTTTTCAAGATGTGTACTTGAAACAGAATTTTTTACCAATCGTACTTACTCAGTTGTTTGATAATACACCTAAGCATCACCAAGAAATGCATATACGCATGCGATTATGGCTGATTCTTGCATTGGCTAAGGTAGGTGTGTATAAACGATCACCGTTTTCTATCAACAGCTTGGTTCTTCATCACGGTATTCAGCTGACTTACCAGTTATTTTTCATAATTCACTAGTAAAATGTATTCTGACATCGTTTATCTTATTATCCTCAAGTCTTCTTCTTCTTCTGATCTTTTCTGCATTGAGCTTTTTGTAAACGAGACAAGATGTTCAGAGAAGTTATCGGTTAATAGGTGGTTTTCGTATTGTAAAGCTGAACAATCGCAATTTTCTATACACTATGTTTCTACAGGATCTGGAGAGTGACAAGTATTAATTAAATCGGATGTAGTTATAAAAGGTGATATTTAAGTTGAAATAATACTGTAGGTGTAGGTGACGTTCATTTGAAATGAGCATAGAAATCAAAAACATTAATAGTCTTGAAGATAGTTTCTTTTGGTTTAGGAGGACTAACTTGTTGTTATTGTTGTAAACGTGATAAAAGAAAGGAAATTGATGCTTTGATAATGCACATAAAAGAAGAGAGTGAAGATAACAACTACGGAAAATGCTAAATCAAATCTATGATGGATATAGGGTTGGAATAAACTTGTTTTGTATGTGCTATTCCTGTTTCTTCTTGCATATAACAGAGCGTTCTGCGTAAAGAACGACAACTGTTGAATGATAAGTAGTAATAATAACACTGTCCAGGTGAATATTCAGTGATTTGTTCACTTAGTTTTCTAAATACTCACAAGTAATATGATTTTTTCATGTTGCATTTCATAAAGTAAGATGTGTACACAAGATTCAATGTACTGCTTATATGTAGGTTTTTAAAATTCATTTAGTGAGCTTTTTGAAATTCCTTAAGTACTACTCTCATGCATGAGATAGATAAGATGCTTCCTGTTTCCAAGAGTTTGTTTGTACAGATAAGATTTGTTTCAAATTATATCTCGGATTGATATCAGTTAGAGAACGAGTGAGAAACAATGGAGTACACTGGACAGCTATTTCGTCCTAGTTTGCGGCTCATCGGCAGTATTCACTCACCGGGTTTTGAACCTGGAGCCTTCCGGTATCTCCTATTTTTTGCTTCTGTTTCTTTTGCCGAAACTTATTTTTGGTAGATTTTACTTTCCCCGTTTACAGTTATGGTGTAAAAATGATGAAGCTCGTTGGTTTGGTATTCGACATAATGTACCTGAAGTTCTACTTGCCTACTTAAATGATGTTTCCCCTGAGGTAATTTGACTCAATTGTTATAGTTTTCTTTTTTTTTTACTGTACTGTGAGATAATTATTCTAGCGTTCTTCTTCTGAATGCATTCAAGCGTATGAATATGTGTCTAGAAGTAAAAATGTTGATTTGAAACATGAGAACTAACAATAGCATTGCATTGTATCAAATTTATTATTTATTGGTTAATGATTAAATTATAGTTTTTTTTCCATGTTTTATGAACTGTACTCACTTTAATTATAACATTTAGATATCTGTGAGAAAAAACGGAGTTGAGTTAGCCGCTCAGCATTCGCTCTCTTGTTCTTATTAAGTATTTGCTTTCTCTTTAAAGAACAAGAACAGTGATTCTATGCGAGGCTACACAAAATAGATTTATCTTCAATGGAGTGCATGTAACACGAAAAGTGTAAAGAGTCAAACGTTTTAGATTATTTGTACGAAAAGGCGTTCATTAGCAGCGAAGTTGTCTTTAGCCTTATATAATCAAAATAAAATACTTGCAAATTTATAGTGGATGGGGAGACGATATTTCAATAAGTCAGTATTTACATACATACCTGTAGTGGACTGCACCCCCCCCCTTAGGCTTATCTCATTATTTGTGTTAGTCCTTTAACTTTACTTACGTACTGAATGTGTTATTGCTAGTCTCAGTAGTCGGTCTAAACATGGTATACATGACACATACCGCACCTACGGGGATTGGTGCGTTTATGAATCAGGTGATTGGCTCTTATTTTCGTTTAATGGCTTTTGGACAACATGTAAAGTTAGCTGATATGTTGGAAATAATATATGTTGTTTTTATACTGAGGAAGAAGTGGGTGAAGAAAAAGCCTAAGATCCATATTTCTCTAAACTACCAAGCCTTCAAAATGAATATTCTCAAATAGTTTGTCTGGTGTTACAAATACCACTTTTGAAGACAGCCTGACTTCCAGCTCAAGTAGCACTTATTAGTATTGATTGATTTTTATTTGAGGGTGGCATAAGTGTTGTTCAGTTGCAGACACATTGTTTGGTGTACTTAAATTCCAAGTATCTGATCACGGGTTCCAACCTTGCTCCATCTACGGAGGTTTGTGCAGTCAGATAGTGTCACTGTTTCTTACACATTAGGTATGCCTTATTACCAACTGTATAGAATTACAAGTAGTTGTCAGCTAAGAATCGCTTCATTTTCCAGTTATACACTTATTGGTAAGTGTAATAGTGTTAAAGAAATTTCAATTTATCTTCCATATTTCGTTTTTCTGAAGTTGTATTAGTTTTTGATGAAATTCACCAGTAAATATAAGTACGTATAATTGAGTATCCTGCTCATAGATGCACATTTTTAGATTTGTATATCAGTGTTGACGAAAATTCGCAATATGTTGTAATTCTTTATCTTCCTTCTTAGGTTCGAGCTGCTACAGTATATGCTCTTGGCACTCTTATAGAGAATCAGACAACAGACCCATCAAAACAAGACCACGCTGATCAGGTAGGTCTCTGTGTAGGTGAGTATTAATGTATACTTTACCCTTTTATTTCATAATTTGTATCTCTTCATAATATATTCAAACCAGGAATAACTAAAGCGAACAGTTGTTCCCAATAAATTCTTTTTCAAACTCTATATTTATAAATTCACTAGTTTTAATATACAATAGTCATTAAAACCAAACTAAAACTATATAACCTGCATTGTGCTAGTTGATCCTTGACTCAGTGGAGTAGAAGTAATTTTGGCACTATTGAATTTCAATTTCGAATACTCTTTTTTCTACCATATTTATGCATTATCATCTAGTCTTCACATATACTATTAGCTATAGAAAATGGAGTGGTAGTCAGTTGGTTTTGGTTACCGTTTTAGTACGCATAAAATGTGTAGTCAATACGAACATGAAGTAAAATGAAATTTAGAAAATTAGTGTTGTGTTTGTGAATAAAAACTCCAAAAAAATACATGTTCTAGGGAAGAGTGTGTGGGGTCACTGGTGTGAGAGACAATATAAATGCTACAGAGGAATGAACAAACAAATGGGGTACGGTGTATATAATCTCAAGGGGTTACAAATAACGATAATAATAATAATAATAATAGTAGTACAGTAATAATAGTGTGGTGAGAGCTGTCTACTAGCCAAATTGGTAGACAGTAATTTACGTCAATGTTAACGTTCTCAAGATTTGTCGTGAGAAAATATGAACAAAGACTGATTCAAAACCGACCACAGTAGACTTTGCGTAGGCGGATGCAGTTAACATGTAGATGATCTGACATTCAAGAAACAGTCACAAAGAGATGAAAGATTTACTTTAAGTGAGAAACAATAAATCAGAAGACTGTGTTTGTTTGCTTAACTAATATATTATAGTGTACATGAAAATATATAAATATGCTTTGTTTTCCTTAATAAACGATCTGTTGCCTGACCCTTGTCTTCTGTTGTTACAATAGTCTTGTTTAAAGACCGACCTACTGTTAGTGAAGGATTAATCAGTAATGAACAATTTAATGAAGTCGAAAGGGAAGGATTGTGTTAATAGAATATCAAATGTGGAAAGTATTATATAAACCTAGGGTAATAGATATGATAAGTAGTGTCATTAAATCGTAAATGGTCTGAAATAAAAGTTTTTCAATGAAACAAGAGGAAAATTGCAAAGAATAGGACTTTATTAGAGTGTCGACTAGAAACGTTTGTAGGGTATTTACAGACATTATTGTAGGTTTAGGTAAACTGAATTTACTAGGACCTTGGTGAGTTGAAGATGTCAATGATACCGCTATAACTCCGTTTATCTGACGACATCTTCGGGACTCGATTTTGGGTGATTAACCTGTTGTTTAGCTTCGCATAGCTTACTTACTTTCAAAGGTGCTTTTTATTGTTGGATACATACTTTTTTAATCTTACTTATTCTGTTACCAATATTGATCATATTATAGATAAGTCATGAAATCGGTGGTCAGTTAGTGAAAATTACCTCTCGTGATGCAAGTCCGCTAGTTCGTTGTTTGTTAGTTGAAGCATTTCGTGGGTTAGTGAAACAGTTTGAAGCACAATTGTGTGCTATTGGCATTCAATACATACAAGAAATTAAAGTGAGACAATCGCAACTACAACAAAATTGTGCAAAACTGTCAACTTTTCCAGCATCTCCATGTCCTATCAAAAGACCTATGCGTCATAGTACGATCAGTAAGTGCAGATTTTTTCATGCTGTCTTATGCTTGCTATTATTATTCCCTTGGATTCCGGGTGGAAACTAAAGCTTCAATAGGCTATCGCCATTTTCCCCTGTTTTTTTTTTCAGTTGTATTTAGCCGGCTCCATGATTGTCAATCAGTTTATATTTCCTCCTTGCACGACCTCTTCCATATCAACTTCGAACACCAACTTTGTCGTTTCTCATTCGAGTTCCACTCTAGTGCCTGGCGCATGATTTTCACTCTCAACAGTCTCCTTAGTGTGTGATTGATTCGTCACATATTTTTTGGTAATAGGTTCTTAAGTATCTTCTGTCTATTCCTTCTTACCATTTGATTTAGCCAACATTTGCTGGTGTGAACGACGATGATTTCAATGTTAATTAGCATAGTCCATATTTCTGTTATACTGCATTTTGCAGATTCAAAAATTAGATAACCCAGTCTTAAGTCTTTGTTAGTTTTATATATGTCGCATACTTTATGTTGAACAGTTCGATTTCTGATGTAGATGTGTGGAGTTGTCTTTGTGTATGTCCGAGTAACAAAGTCCTTACTTTATTACTGTTTAGTTAATTAAACAGTAAGCAATTGAAAATTGGATCAGTGGTAGTTTGTGAATGATGCTTGAATATATCATCATGATAGTCGATAGTGTTCACACAGATTAGTAGGTTCAAAAGAGTTTGAATTTGAACCGATCTCATTAATATCTGGATTGGATTCCAGATACAATTGTAGGCTCAATAAAGAGAATGATCATTATGAGACGGAACAGTTGCCCAATTTGCTTTAGGTTTTCTTGACTATTTTAATTGCTGATTACTGTCTTCCTTTTTCATAGATTTAATCACACCTCCTGGAGGAGGAACAGTTAGCGTTGGAATTAATAACAGTCTACAATTATCTCATCAAATGGAGTCAACTGTATTTTCACAAGCCAGTCAATCCTTCAAGAGGTCTACAAGTCGAGAAAATAATCCATTAGCTGTTAAATCTCAAAGTTATTATAGAGGTCATTTAAATTTGCAACGTCCATCGTCACCAATTCTACATAAATTGTCTACCAGTCCTGGTTCAGTGTTTTTCACTGGTTAGTTTAGGAATTCATTGATGTTTTTGTCGGTCATTGTTCTACACCAGTTATAGAAACTACTTGGCAACTAACTCTTAATGTATAGTTTATGTCATGACACTTGTAGTATATAGAACACTTCAGGGACATATGTGAGGGTATTAAGTCTAACGGTCATTTAGAATTTATCAATTCTTCGGAGCACAAGTATAGAAACTGAAATCTATTGACTTATGACGCATTAGTTTTATGGTGATTAAACAATTTTGAACAAACTATGTTATATTCTACTTTTAGTTACTTTGGCCTGCTATCCGTGTAAGACATCTTCAGACCATATGAAGCATCTGATCAACAAACCTACTTTAGAGTTAATATTTTTATTTTTTTTTATCTTATTCCTTTACGTTCCTACTGAAACAAAGGGCTTCAAGTTAGAGCTTTGAAGTTTCGGTATCAGTGGTGTTTATTTTTACGCGATGGGGTTGCTAGCCGCACCCCCAACCTCCCCTCTTTATCGGACTTACTACCAGCCTAGTGTGGTTCAGGAGTGCATTGGTCGAGAATCGAACCTCGTACCACGTGAGTGCTTGGTGACCGTGCTACCACTGAACCCCCACCGCGGTTAACATATTGGACCTGTATATCAGTTTTAAGTTATTCATTGTATCCACAAGTGTGATGTATTTGGCTGAATAGAAACAACTTGCCTATTGGAAGTAATTTGAAGTTTATCCTCAGACACTTTCAAAGCGTCCGAACTGGAACTGACACAGGCTGAACATATCGGTCCAATCAGTCTACGGGAAAATCAAAACTGAACTTTAAAAGAATTTTTCACTTCGGTAGAAAAGTTTTGTGAGGCTCCACATTTTAAAGACAGTACTATTATTATTCAGATTCGAGGCTTGTAGTGATTGTGATTGTTATGGGCGTACACTTTTGAAAAGTCCCGGACAATGGTGAAACAGACTTTCATGCTCCTTGTATTCTAATGGTTTGCTGACTGATGTCAGTTCGTGACGATATTCACATAGAAATATTATTATCATTATCACTCTTTGAAGTATACATGTATCTGTGTATTTCCTTATAATGGTTTTTTATTTCAGTCATTATTCTCTTAGTAAGGTTAACTGAGCTGTATTAATCGTTATTTTTTTGTGATAGGTTTTTATTGACGAATAGTATTAGCAAGTGGGCGTGAATACTTTTTCCTTCTACTCCCTTCCGTATTATGTTGTTTACGAATTTTTTTGCCTAACGGTGAAATGCTTTATAGGAATTTGGACATCATTGGTTATTTGTCACGTTTGGAAGAAAATACAAAAACAGACTGATCACTGTTTATGTTTTCTATCGTTTTCTTACGAAAGTGCGAACTGTTATCTTCTGTCGTTTTATGCATCCACATTGTTCTGCATGTTCATTTGTCTGTCAGCGTTTTTGATTGCTGTTTATTTCCTCTCATTTTCTTGTTGGTTTGTTTGTTTGTTTTTGTATGCAGGTAGTGGAAATACACCTAGTACAAATATTTATGTTCAATTTTGGTTGACATTAGTTCAGTTGGCACAAGATCCTTATCCGGAAATCTCTCGACTAGCTACAATTTTAATTCAGCATTTATATGCTAAGGTAGGCTAACCACTGTTTCGTTGAATGTAATCCTTTTCCTGTTGTTCTTTCTGTATTTATGAATCGTTGGCTTTTATAGTCATCCTGGTTAGTTCAATGGCTAATTTTCATAAAATGTATATTGTTGGCTAGATATTGCGTTTTCGCTTGTATACCGTAATTTGAATAATCAGGAGATCATTAGACCTAGGATTTCAGCATTTCTTTCCTAGTGACAGCACGTATTTCTTCGGCCTTGTGTATATAGTCAACATACTGTCGTGAATTCAATGCTTACATTATTCATTCATAGGTGTGACATTGCGCTTATGTTTGGGCGACGTCTTATAAGCCATTAACTGAAGTGGGAAATTAACGAAATTAGAGAACTATGCATAATGGTGTATTCCCTAGTATGTGACTTTCTTAGGTGTTTCGTGTATAAAGATTCTATCTTACCTTCTCAGATTCTAATAGTTTCTGGATTTATTAGGTTAAAATACTATCAGTTGAAACTACTGGTTTTCTCGAGAAGTGTTCAACTAAATTATTACATATAGAGGTATAATACGGCGGTTTTGATTATGTATTGACATTTTAGTTCCAAGGTTTTCTGGCGTTCGATAAATATGGTGGTCAGACAGGTTCTGCAATAACTTTTGAAAGCTTAGATATACTTGGTAATATATCCTGTAATCTTTTAACTGTTTTTGACGTGTAACTGTGGTACTCTTGTATGCAAGTCGGTGCTTGCTTCTTGAATTTATCTACTTTCCAAACGAAAGTGATCAGATCATTTCGAACCCGGAACTAATAACATCATAGTTCAATAATTAAAGTTATTTAGTCGCACCTGTCTGTATCATACCATAGCGCATACATTACTGTGAGATGTACGAGTTTGTGCTCAGGTGAATGTGAGTACTGAATATGTATGTTATCGATGAAATGCAGATATGAATCTAATTGATTCAGGCAATACATGTTTTATCTTAAATTCAGATTGTTATCACTGTTCGAATTATATTCAAAAGAATAGTTACTGAACAAAGAATACTCTTTTCGATAACTTCATCATCAGGTTCTACAGTTATATATACATGGTAGTGAATGAGTGAATTGGTGTTATGAACAACATTAATGTTGTTCAAATTACATCGAATCAGTAACATCAATAGATCACAGTTCAATACCATCAACATAACAATAAACTGAATATCAGAAAAATTAGGAAAGATAATAATACAAATTCATGAATTTATAGTCTCTACTGAAGGCGAGGGCAGTAGTAGTGACTGGCTGGATTTGCTTCTTTTGCACACAAAGCACTGGTTGCTTCACGCGAATTGCGATAGCCTCTGCTGTTTGGAGCATGTGGTACCTCGATTGTTTTTGGCAATTTATTTGACACCCAATAGGTGATAGAGAAGGATTCTTCAATGCTGGTTTAATGGCCGCGTTGGACCAGATGGTCTAATATATTATATGTAAAAGAATTATATTGTTCTTCATTCCTTTACATCCTGACTTAAGATTTAGAGATTCAGGCTTGAGGAAGTAAAGCTTCAGTACTGGTGGTGTTGTTATATACGGGATGGTTTTACTTGTGTCATTCTAGACCCTTCCTTTGTTCCAGAATCGTGTTGGCTGGGATTCGAACCCAGGAATAAGTGAGCACTTGGCAATCATTCTACTATTGAACCACCAACGTACATTAAAATTACATAGTCTATTAAATTTTAATTTATTACTTTATATTACTTTCACATTCATCTTATTGTAAATCATACTAAACCATTTTTTATCTATTTTATTATTTTATTTCCTAGATACGTGAAAAGGTATGTTAAAATTTCATAATGACATTTAATTGAACGCAACTGTTCTCAAAATTCGTTACTTACTAATACTATTTAGATACCACTCACATCAAATAAGTAGCGCTTGCTAGCCAAGTCGCTCGTTTGTAGCCAAACGCAGCAGTTAATAAGGGCGCTGAGAGTTGAATCCTGGTTAGCTACCCACTCAAACTAGTAGTGGTGCATTGGATCGAATAATAATAACAATGGTTATGATGAGAAGCAGCTGACATCGTCAGTATTATATCTGTATTCTCGACTGTTAGACATCTTGGTTTGATGTTGTTTTCCACTATACAGGTAGATGCTTGATCATGCGAGTAGACAGTCAGATTTTCCTTAAACTTATCTATTTGCATCCACAGTTGGTGACCAATGGGTGCATGCTATTTTGAAATTGTTTGGACAGTTTTATAGATGTAATTCCGTTTGTTGGATATACTGAATCGAAGTGGGAACTTCAAGATTTGAATAAAGCGCTTCTTGAAAAGTGATACAACATCCAGCTGGCCATCGAATTGAAATTGAACACCTTTAGTTCTCAGAAGTAACAATTACCTCAAGTGTTTTGTCGAAATAATTACATCATAAACCTTTCAACATATTAAGTCAATAGTCCTAATAACTAGCTGATACTTAATGAGAAAGATAACATCAAATGGCTTAGAATGTTAAACTGTTACCTTAGGATCAGAAGTATTCTTGACTAACTGGAATCAAAGACAATGTATTTTACGAACTATTTTCGTAGAGGCTGTATTAATTCATATAGCGACTGTACTATTTTTTATATGACCACTTTGTCATTCGGAGTGTGTCTTAGAGGGTCATTGACTTAATCACTTGACTTCCAGTCACTGGGTTTGGGTTTTCAGTCTTCATATACCTACTTCACCCAAGTCAACGGGATACTATCATTGTGGCGTAGCAAAACTTATAAGTGGTATATTGTGTATGATATCCTCTGCAAGTATTTTCAATAGTGACGCGACGGATTAATTTAGGAAGAGAAAAAGTGAAACAGTGTAGAAAGAATGAGGTGAAAGAGAAAGAAGCGAAATACGAATAACTTGTGAATTGAAACTTCAGGATTTCATCACGAACTGACATAGGCTAGAGAACCATTGTAAAACCAGTCAGGGAGTACTATACATCTGTTTCATCCTGGTTTGGGACCCTTCAGGAGGACGCACCCACTGGGGTTCGAACTCAGGACCTTCTGGTTACAAGGCGAACTCGTAGACCATTAAACCACTGGGACCCGGTTTAATGGTCCTTGAATTCCAACTTAAGGATGAGGTCTTTGTATATCGCCACACATCATAAGAAGAATAAATATTTCTCCTAACAAATATTACTGTGTTCTGCAGTAACGGCATCAGTCCTATTTATTTATTTATTATTTATTTAAACGCAGAAAAAACTTGGTACAATATAGCACCAAGAAAGATGCACCACACAATAATAATAAAACAACATAGATTAAAAGTAAAAATATAGGTAGAAAACGGATAAAGAACTTCATCAAGAAGGAAAACAGTCATGTTTAACAAGTTCAAACAGTATTCGTTAACTATCATCAGGAAGGGAAGAAAGAAGGAAATTGCAGCACGTTCACCATTGATTACGATTCTTGGCCATATCCGATAACGTTTCGAGCCATCGATTTGAGCTATCTCGCGGATCCCAACCAGGGAGTCGTGACACACCAACCGATGCTAATCTAGCACAAATATCCTTCATCCCACGACGCCACGTCATGGACTGACCACCTCTCCGCCTTTTCCATCCCGTCCCAGGACTGGCTAGCGAACAGAGACCTGTACGGAAGCCTCTGGGATGACATTCGCAGCACATGTCCAAGCTACCGGAGCTGGTGTTTCCATATGACGACACTCAATGAATGGTGATCTCCACTGTGTTCAAACACACGTCGCCGAACCTCAGAATTACTCACGCGATGATGTCATCGAACGCAAGCAATCCTGCGGAGACAGCGATGATCGAACACGCAGAGTCGCCGCACATCCTCAGCTCGGAGAGGCCAGGTTTCACAGACGTAGAGCAAGACAGACCGCACCGAAGCATTGTATACCCGACCTTTGACAGCCAGGCTAACGTCTTGACGGCGCCAGAGGTGGCTCAAGTTGATGTATGCCACCCTAGCTTTCATTATACGGTTGGAAATCTCATCCGTCACCCCTCCGCCAGCACTCACACAACTACCTAGGTACACAAACTTATCGACAACTTCAAGCGGTTCACCCGCAAGAATGAGTGCAGGTACAGGCTCCTGCCAATCTTGTAACAGTACTTTGCACTTAGATGGTGCAAAGCACATACCATACTTACAGACACTGATCGCCAACTGATTAAGTGCGATTTGGGCAGCCTGCATGCTATCGCACAGTAAGACGATATCGTCTGCATACTCGAGGTCGAAAAGTCTATCTCCAGGTAGCAGATCTACACCACCTTCACGCACATCCTTCAGAGCTGACTCCAGAATGTCATCGATGGCAAAGTTAAAGAGAAATGGAGAGATTGGGCAACCCTGCCTAACCCCACTGTTGGTTGGGAACAGTGGTGATAGTTGGTTGTATGCCCTCACTCTACCTGAGGTGTTTCTGTATAGGGCTTTCAAGATGTTAACAAATTTCTCAGGTACACCTCTCTCTAACAGACAGTTCCAGAGCACAGTTCTGTCCAACGAATCGAAGGCAGCCCTAATATCAAGAAACACAACGATCGTTGGCCTGCAATACGTGTGGCGGTGTTCCAACAACTAACGAAGGGTGAACACATGATCAATGCATCCACGACCTGAACGAAACCCAGCCTGCTCTTCGCGAATCAATCCTTCACGTATTTTGCACAGCCTGCGAAGCAAGACAGAAGCCAATAATTTAGACGCGACTGGTAGCAGACTGATACCCCTATGATTGTCACACGAATTACGTCGACCCTTTTTAAAGATAGGGACGATGATGGCTTCGTTCCACATTGATGGTACACTCTCAGTTTCCCATACCTTCCTGAACAACCCAGTTAGAGCCATTGTAAGAGTCTCGCCACCATCTTTCAAAAGAGCCGGGGGTAAATTGTCTGGGCCGGGCACCTTATGGCGTTTTAACACTTGGAGTTTCTTACGGACCTCCGCTTCGGTGGGTCGGTCGGTATTAACCGACCAAGGAGCACTGGGGCTAATGACAGCAGACATTGAAGCTGATAGCCAGCTAAACTGTTTCCCGAAGTGCTCTGCCCAGCGTTCCAGGCGTCTTTTCAAACTGGTAATTGGCGTGCCATCTGCCTCACAGACCGTCTCGCTGACACCTTGTTTCTTGCTGCCGGTGGCTCGGATGAGTTGGAACAGCTTCCGACTGTTGCCAGATGCAGCAGCTGACTCCATCTCACCCGCACGTTCTGACCACCAGGCCTAGCGGTCCTTACGTAAACACTTTCTTATCTTGCGCGTCAGCGCCTTTCGCTTATTTCTGTATTCGCTGCCAGCCGGAATGGACCGGCGTTCATCCAGGAGTTGCAAGGAACTCGCAGAAACCCAGTGGTTTTTGGCGCAGCATTCTTTCAAGCCGCAAGCGGCTACACTAGCTCTTTTCATGGCACCTTGCAGATGGAGCCAGTGTTCATCTATACTACTTGGGGGGTTGCTGGCAAGCATTGACTGTAACTCATTCTGATATTTCAAAGAAGTAGCAGGTGCTACTAATTTGCTCACATCAACGTTTAGACGACGCCTTTTATGAACTCCACCAAATCGCAAGACGAACTTGGCACACACTAACGTATGATCGGAGTCCAGGCATGTGCTCCAGAAGGAGCGACAGTCTTTTATGCATCCTCGCCACCGGAAACTGACAGCAATGTGATCGATCTGAGTCCAAGCTTGGTTCGCAGAGGGAGGACGCCAGGTAGCGCTACGGCGATGGTTGTGCCGGAAGTTGGTGCTGGCCAGAAATAAGTTGTGATCCGCGCAAAGCTGCAGAAGACGGTCCCCATTATCTGACCTGCGACCATGTAGTCCCCATTGACCACCTAGACGATTCTCCTCTGAGCTCAGACGCCCGACCTGTGCATTCAAGTCCCCAGCTAGCACTACGATATCCCTCCGACCCGCCTGTCTCAAGAGATCGTTAAGTTGGTGGTAGAACTCGTCCTTCATTGCATCCGGGCTGCAATATGTTGATGCATAGGCAGAGACAACAAATAGACACCGCCTATCTGGCCTACTACTCCTTACTTTCGTATAACCTTCCAGACTCAGCACATAAACGACTGTTAATGGGAATCCAGTCGAGCAGTGCAGCTTCGCCTCTAGCGCTCAGTGCGCCGCCGACACCAGATACGCCGGATGCCGACGCCACAGGGTCCCCGGACAAGCGCAGGTGGTACATACTACTAGAACTTCCAAATGGAGAGGATAATCGAAGCACTTCACTGGGATCTTGAATGCGAGTCTCCGAAATGCAGCAGACATCGATAGCGAGGCTTTCCAACGTTCTTACCAACCCTGCCTGTTGTCCGATTTGCATCAGCGTCCGAACATTGTAGGTGGCCAGCTTGAACGCGGCACGCGGTTTCAGGATATCTGTGTTAGATGTCACATTGGGGACAGCCATTTTGAGGGTTACTCACTAACATCTCGAAACGACACAGATAGGCTAGGAATCCCAACAAAGGCGAAAGGCTGTCGAAGGTTAAGAAGTCAAGGTGAGCAAAGGTAAAATACAGGAAACTAAGTATAAAAATAAAAGTAAGGTTGGAAAGAGATATATCAACTGGGACATCATTATTGCCTGAGAGCATTGTTAAGAGCGCGCGATGAGTTTCACTGATAGTTTGTTGCTTCAGTCCTTACACATTCAATTCATTTCTCAGTAAATGAAAAATTTGTTCCACGAAACTGAATTCTTACCAACTAAATCGATGGTGTGCAATGACATGGTAGAAAGCTGGCACTGGACTGTTTGCATTGTATTATCATTAATGATTATGAAAAGAGCAGTATTGTTTAAAAAAAGTAGAACACGATTACAGTCATCATGTATCGCACTGGTTTTTTCTTCATATGTCAACATATGTATGTATAGCTGGGCGATATTATTAATTTAATACCGTGCGTATGTCCCTGTTAAAAAGTTTGAGTTGTCACACATCTTACAAGTATGTCGAGAAAGCTTCCAAAGGAGAAGATGATGAAGAGAATAGCAATGAAACATGCTGTAAGTGTAAGAAATGATAAGTATGTATGTACATTATTTTACTATCCGGATAGAGCACTGGGTGTCAATGGTCTATGCATCAGCACCGTTTTAGCCTTTAAAATATGTATTCTGTGGATTTGTTGTTCTGCAATTTCACTGAGTATTTTTTGTTTGTTTTTGAATTCGTATCTCACTGATTTTGACCTTTCTTCTCCTTTTTCCGTAAACAAATAACTCTCAAGACTGAATATCAGGCTAACCATATTTCACCTAATATCAAAAATGTGGTTGGCAATAATTCATCGTCTACACCGGACATTTCATCACAGGTGCTTGGATCTGATTCACATGTAGCGGCGGCCATTAATGTATCCTCCTGTGCTCCAATAAATCCCCATGTCCAATCAAAATCCAGTGGAGTGAATCACGTACCTGTTATGAATGGCACAGCTGACCGGTAAGTACTTTCTTTTCAGGTGTTGAAAGCCTAACGTTCAGTATACTATTATGATCATAATACTATCTGTTTTATCTGTATTTTAGAGGTATTTTATTCTGTAAATAAGATAAAACTTAACTAGTAGTTGGGTGTTTTTCTAATTGTGAGAAAAAAATAATCCTATTAGTTAACCATTCTTGGTAGATTTCATCATGAATGGAGATTAATCACCATAGATACAACAGCATTTCTAAATATGACTTCGCTGATATGTTGGCTCTACCATTCCTTACACAAGTAGACATAGTTCAAACTGTTCAGTGTTATTACATCTCTCATCTCTGACAGTCAGTCATACAGAAAGCCTGATTGTTTGTTACACACTCCACTATGAAAAAGAAGCTTTCAGAATGCGTGAGACCATTGAGAGCATCACAATTTCGAGTTAACCAATGGAGTGTGTGTGATTTCTTAAGTAAACGAAGTGACCAGTGAACCACTTCATTCCAGTTCTATATTGCTGAGTGCCAATTCAGACGACTTTGACTTTGAGTGTCAGCTTACCTAATTAATCTTCATACACATTTAGTATAACTCACAGCTGAGTGCTTGAAAGTAGTCCTAACGAAAAGCGTACTTGCCTCATTTAATCACACTAATTGGTTAGGATCAATTATATTGGAACTAAGTAAGATAAATGCATTTCAAATATATTTCAGGTTACGGAATGTACACATTGGATCATAGGAATTATTAAAAAGACGGTTGCAGCGAAGAAAATTTCCTTTTCGACGAAGTCGTCAACTAGGCTGTACATTCGTGTATTTAGAATAAATGGGTGGGAAAGTTCCGGAATAATTTCCGGTTAAGGGTCAAATTAATAAAATTACGATTAGGAATTAAAATGCCATAATAAACAGGGGGGACGGATACAACTCGAACAAAGTAGCATCACAATTATTGGGAAGATTTACATATTGTGCAATTAGGGGTTAGAAATGTAGAAATAGCAAAATAGACAGGATGTTTGGATAAAAAAAACCTAGTGTGTTCATAACTAATATGACGAATAATTGTTTATGGGATTAAGTATTAAATATGTAGAAATAGTAAAATGAAAAATTAAACAGGAAGTTCGGATATGAAAATATGGTAGTGTAGACAGGGATTAAGAAAAACTTAAAAATAACATGAATAAACAGGAGGTTTGGATAAGAAAGGCAATGGGATAGTCACTATTAAAAAAATTACCTGTTTATGATGGTCATGGCGGGGACAAGGGTTAGACATTTTTTTAGATACATAGCGTGGGTTTGAGTTTTTGAATGGCTAGTGCCTCTACTATACCTAGATGTCTTGATTTTACTCCTTTTGATAGGTTTGATCGAATCTTGTATATGACTTTGAAGGATTTTCCAAATGGCGCTGAATGTCCTGAATGGACCAGATGTTCTGTCACTGAGCTATATACACGTTTTCGTTCTCCTTTTACTAGCCAGGCTGGATAGTGTTCATGAGTGCGTTTTTCAAGTTGGCGCATGGTACAGCTGATGTACTCAACTCCGCACGAGCAAGTAAACTGGCATATACACGTTGAAGTGGCCCAATGTGACAGGTTGTCTTTCGCGTTCTGGCTGAACAGTTTCTTGCAGGAAAACGTCAGTCGTAGGCTTGCGGCGAAGTATTTTTTCCTCAGAGATTTACAGAGGCGTTTACGAATGTACAGCCTAGTTGATGACTTCGTCGAAAAGAAAATTTTCTTCTCTGCATTTTTCTTTTTATATTATTTATTTTTTATTTTGATTACAGCTTGATTCCACACCGTATTTTCAGTACAGGTATGGAATTTTCAGCATGGATATCGGTAGCCCAAATTTACAGGCCGACCATAGATGTCGGTTGTGCGCCGGCAGGGGATCGAACCCCGGACCATGTGCATGGTCGGCGAGAGTCTTAACCACTGTGCCACCGACGCACATGTGTCAGGTTGTCAGTGTTTTAATTATTCAAATAGTTCTAAATTGTGTCAAGTCATTTTCATTTAACACGGTATTTATCAACTTCGTGCAAAATACCTCTGTTGATTGATTATATTATTGTCATTATTATTACTAAAATACAAACTTGGCACATTATGACCGCTAAGAGATTATATTATTATTCCCTTGGGTTCCTAGTGGAACATAGCGCTTAAACAACACATCTCCACTTTGTTCTATACTCTGCTATCCTCTTCAGCTGGGTTCACGATTGACCATAATCTCTCATCTCCTCCTCCCCAAACGATCATCCATGTCACCCTAGGACGACTCACTCGTCGCTTCCCATTGGGATTCCACTCGAGCGTTGGTCTGCATTGTGCGCGATATCATTCTACGGCCTACTCAACGTATGCCTGATCCATCTCTATTTTCTCCTGCATATTTGTTGAGCAGTCGGCTTTTGGTTGGTCTGTTGCCAGTCAGAGTTGCTTCTTGCTAATTCCTCCTGGCCAGCCGGCCATTTGATCTTCAGTATGGAGCTAGCGAATCGGACAGCAGTTGATAAAAGTGTTTAGCTTATTGTAAATTCTTCTCGTGACACTGACTGACTTCACATTTGTGTTAAAAATCCGAATTTCGTTGTTCATGCTGAGTGCCAAGAGAAGGTCTCGTAGTTTGTTTGAGGGCTGGAATACTGGCCGGACACCCAGACAGGGACAGGTGGTCCTCTTAAGCAGCCAATTCCCGAGTCTGATCTACAAAGCACTGGAGCAGCAGTAAGAGTTACGTCCCTATGGTTACTAATCTCCAGAATGGGATCGTACGCCGTTCTATGTTTTCGGACTCTCTAGCTCATATACACCATAGATTTTTAATCAGGTTTTCTATCTTTTCTAGGTAGACTAGCACGTTGACCTGTTCGCTTGTGAGTACTGCACAGTCGTATTTGCCCCTTGACTTCTTTGAGGAACACTGCTGCCGTATGTGGGTAGGACTTACCTGGTAGTGGCTATGAACACGTGACCACGTGATAGGATTACGAGGGGGAGATCGAAGTCCATCCATCCTTGCCATTACCAGGTCATTTTATGGTGGGGTGGTGATTGATTGCCATGTGTCAAATGTAAAAATTGGGGCTTAATTAAAGATAGATATCAGTTAATTCTCTATTCAACGGAAATCAACTATAATCGTTTTGTTAATTTGAAAAAAATATTTGATTTCATTCTGATCAGTGAATTTTTTCCTGTTTATAGGGTCGGTGCTAAAGAATTATCTTCAAATTCTACAACATATTTGACATCGTCGCTAAAGACATCTACTGCAACTACAACAGGGGCGACACTTATTCATTCTGCTCAGTTTCCAGGTAGAAGACATCAACAAACTGATCAGCGTTTACGTGTGTCGGTTACAAATCTGCCGAATACAATATTGAATAAAAATCCTGTACGCCTTCTCTATTCATCTCTTAGAAAGGTTTATTGCATTTCAGTGTTCATAGGTTTCTCGCGATAAAACCGATACAGACTCCAGTGTGAATTGAACCTGTTGTGTATGAGAGTTTATGAACTTACCGGTCGGAAAAATTGATTTACTAGTTGATATTATTGAAATCAGAGGCTTTGCTAAGAAAACTGTTGAGTACTGAAGACCTTTGTCTTGTTTCACATTCCACTTACAGTAATGAAATTCACTAACTTATAATTGGTTTAGTTTGCACTTGATCGATAAACGTCTACCAGTACTGATAAAATGTGAGCTATTCCAGTAATCAAAAGCTAAATTGAATTAATCATATTCTAGATCAGTGTGATCTGCCGGATTGTGTGGGTGTTTGCTTTTCTTCAAAAAGCAACCATTTTACCAGTTGACACTGATACTTATTCCAGACATTTCTATCAGCTTTAGTTTATTGCATGGTTGGAACAAAATATTATAAAGTTGGGCAACATAGTTGAACGTTACTGAAAAATTTGTGTTTATACGAGAATTGACATTAGTAAAACAGAATAGATGAAAAATATCACAGCGAGCAGAAAACACAATGTGTGTATTTGTAAGATATAACCATGTGTGCAGGCATCTATACCATAACCATCGATTTTCATTACCTTAGCTTGTATATAATTTCTTAAACGCCTCTTGGTAAACAGTGAATAATTGCATAGTGCATTGGTGCATTAACATTCCCCTCTATCCTATCGTCATCTCATTAAATGATGCAGAGACAAACTTGCTAATTTTAGTATTTTATGAATTGAGTGTCATGCATTGTGGCGACTGTTAGACCAAATACCTAGGTTAAAGCAGTCAATTATATAAGTAAGCTAGCTAGCATACCCCCCCCCCTGAACTACCAACGCCTCGAAAGGAATTTAGTCAAATCTGAATTAATAATTTGAAAATACGATAAGCACCGTAGATAGGATCCTAGGACATTGTGACATCTGAAGTAGACAGTTGATTTTCGCTTGCCCTCTGGTTAGATCCGAAATTCCACATGTACAACAAAAGTAATGCAATTTTCATTACCTAGAATAAAATGGCTACACGAAAGTCAATAAATAAACAACCAAATAAAGATTTGGAGATATAGATATTAACCTCTATAAGATTGTTAGCAGTAAACTTTGCTCGAAATTCCGTCCAGTCAATAAAACAGCAGGTAAACTGGTTTAATGTGTGCAATTTTGTAAGTAGGTTACATAATGTTAAAATATGTGTGAATCGACAATGTATTTCAGTTTTCTTTCTTTGCTTATGCTCTTACTTTAAAGCAATTTGTCGATAGATTTCAATACAAACAGACATTATATGGAAAGCATTGGACAGCTGTGTTTCTTCCTATCTTGGGATTCCATAATTTGTCTATTCACAGTTTTACATCGTAGATCCCATGTATAAAAATTTATCATGAAAACACTGAAGAATCCACCTTAATTTGTATCAAGTATTGTTTTCTAAGAAAGTAATGAAGAACAAAGAAAACAGAGCTCCCCAGTATTCTTTGGTTTTCCTCAGTTGTTCTCCATCTGTCTTATGTAGTTTGTATTTGATATGCAATCGATTTTGTTAATTTTTCTTCTAAAGTTGTCTACACAACTCTTTAAGAGGACAGTTGGAAGCATAAGGATTAAATCGGTCACTTGTTGATTACACTGGACTTTCACTCCGGCGCATCTTGGGTTCGCACTCCCAAGTACACTTCTCACAGATTGTACAATTAACTAGCGTCCATGAATATGCGCGTACAAATGCATGAAATCTTTGTGATATTTTGTTTATTTCTCCCCTTTTTTTTCTTTTTTAGATAATGCCATCGTCCCTTAATTGTGACAATAATGATAATACAAGCGATGATAATTCTAACACTTCCCCTTCTTCGAATTTATCAGACGTGCGTACACAGTTCTTTTCATGGTCGTGTCGTTGGTTCACTCGCCCCCTGTTGTCCACTTATGGTCAATTGAGTGCTCATCACGGAAGTGGTCATGACAACTATATTATTAATAAATTCAAAAATAATGAAAGTTTAACTAATCATTCAAGTTAGTGATAACGTGATGGTTTTTATGTAAACATCCCAAAATCATATATACATATATATATATAGTCATTTGTTCTCTACTCACTTTGTATTATTATTAATATTCCCTTCAGTTCTGAGTCGAACATAGGGCTTCAGAAGTTGAATCTATGATCGCTTATAAACTTTCATCCCCTTCTCACACCACCACCGCCTCTATATCAACCACGCACCAACGTCCAACTCGTCGTTTCCTGGCGCGTGATTTCACTCAACGTTTTTCTAGCTTAATTTCCTTCGGTATATTTGTTAGGCAATAGGTGCTTGGTCAGTTCGTCGTCAGAATTCCGTGTTGCTAAATCTATCTAGCAGGCTCTTTGTTCATCAGTATGAAGTACTGATTTGACATAAGTCTTCAAACATCCGGATGTTGTTCATCACGCTTTGCTCGTCTTTTTTCATACGTTTCCATTATAGTGTTTACATGATTCATTGTTATTTTCAGTATAATTATAACGTTGCATATTTCGGCCTATTGTTACTTTTAGTTTTGGACAATGAATTAGTCTCCTTGGGTACAGTCTCGGTTGATCCAGATGCTGTTGCTTATACAGACCGTGTAAATCGTCTACGAAGACAACGTAAACTTTCTCGTCTAGGACGTATAAAATGGGAACGTTTCGCCGGTGAAGTATGCTGTCCTACTACACCAATGGCAAATATGACTCGAAGTGTTTCAACTGATCATAATACCAATAACACTAGTAGCAGCCGTATAAGTCTGCGTAGTAATGATAGCGGAGGTAGTAGTAGTACAAGCAATTCATCCACCATTGTTACACTTCATCCTAGTGCACTTTACAATTGTACTGCTGCCACTACTACTTCTCCTAGTAATATTAGTAGTGGTTATAGTAATATTGAATTCGACGGTATATCAACAAAAATAAAGTTTCATCCATATCAACCATATTTGGTTGTTGTTAATCCAAAAAAAGGTGTTGCAATACATTCATCAAAGAACTTGGATCGCTTACATTGTATCAATCTATCAGATTCATCGAATCCTCTATTTCCTGAAATATCGTCGCCGTTGTCATCTGTAGACGGGTAAGTGTAGAAATATCTCAATTTAATGTGTTGCTTATTTGTATGCGTTAAGTACAATAATGTTTCTGTAAGTGTGTGCTGATATAAACATCCTCGTTAAAAGTATAATGAATCATGGGGTTTTTTTAACAAAAGGGAAAACATTTCCAAATTCAAATGAGATGTAGAAAGCCAAAAGAGTTGAGAGAAGAAATATTTACTTTTCTATTAGATTTTCATCTCTGGCTCTACTCTAATACACACGTATAGCATTTTTATTACAATACACAACAATTTTACCAATCAAGTGGCGATATGTTTGTTAACAATAATTAGTCAACATCAACATGTCAATTGGATGATTATTAACGAAGAAAATTAATACACACAATTAAAGGGTAGAAATGGTTGAAACACATGGCTTGCGTAATGCATAATTTTGAAAAATGAAGAGTAATTTAGGAATAAGCGTGTGCTCAAGTTGATTACGTAACAGATTGTCGAAGAAAATAAAACGACTTGGACAATGATAACTTGTAATTAAAAATGAAATAGTCAGAAACATAAAATAATTTAGACTATTATAATTTTTAAAGGTTTAGAGGGAGGGGCAAAGTAGTCCGGATCTAATTGAAAAGTAAATATTTCTTAACTCAATGTTTTTGCTATCTAACTGTCTAAATGGGGATATTTTCTGTATTCATTTGGGATGGTTGTTTAGTTGTAAGTTGTTTGTCTACATACATTTTACGTATTTATTTACAAATCACGGCTTTTTTTGAAAGTTTCAACAAAACTTGACAACTGAACAGATACTTTTTAAGAAGACTTTGTGCATATTTTCGATAGGACACTGTTTCAACCCCAAACCTTTAACAACCACATTCAACAGCTATATGACAATTGCGCATGTCAGGTGATCCACAATGGTAAACTCAGCGGAACCTTTGAAGTGAAGACTGGAATAAGACACAGTACTCCCATGTTTTTCAATGGTTCTCTAACCGATGTCATCTCATGATGAAATCCTGTAACCGATAAGACATATCTATCTGCTATCAACGACGATAACCCGATTGTGATGGACTGGATCATGCATCAAACCGTGGGGATCGAGAAAACAAGAATACGATAAGAAGACTCTAGAATATTTGGACTTTGCAGACGAGTTATGTCAAATATCATGCGAACTCAAAGATCGTGAGGCGAAAACTAACAGTTCGACAGAAGAATCAGCAAAGACAGGATTTCAGATGAACATAGAGAAGACCGAACTGATGAAGAAAGCCGAACCAACAACTAGAAATACCAATCAGTGTCGACGGAAGAAAGAGGTCACCTCTCTCACTTATTTGGGCAACGGCGTTTCAGCTACAGCCGGCACGGTTGAGGTATAACTCCATTATGGATAAGATGTTATCTTGATAAATCACAGTGTTGTACGGTAATATTAACTGATGACGTTTCGAGCACAAACTATTGCTCGTAATCATATCAAGCTACTCACACAACGTTTTTCCTTCATTTATATACATGTGTGTGCTCGAAACGTCATCAGTTAATATTATTATACAACACTGTGATTTATCAGGATAAAATCTTATCCATAATGGAGTTATGCTCTACCACAGTGCCCAAGTTTTATACTTATATCAGCGGTTGAGGTATGTTAAAATCTGAATCAGAAAGACAAGGTAGGCATTCGTCACCTTGAAATCAGTTTGGAAATCTTGTGTGCTCAGGATAAAGAACCAAAATTGGATTTTTTAACAACATTGCTAAGTCAGAACTTTACATTGTTCAGAAACGAATGACTCATTTTGGGGAATTCTTGCAACTTATTCAGTCTGTTGCAAAACCGGTAGTAAATAGAGCTTATAACCTACAAGCAGGGGATAATTAAAAAGGTGGTAAGTTTCTGTAGACTCAGTTCAGTGAGACTGATCCGACCGGTATATCAAATGTGATGTAGGACGAAAGTTCGTTTAACGTACAATGATAAAAGTTTCCTTTAACGACATTGAACGATAATGGATGATGAAAGCCAAAGTAAAACTACTGATACAAATTAACGACCATCTTTAAAACACAATTATGTCAAAATCATATCATAGTGTCTCTAATACCGTTGGTGATGCCATATTCAAGTATGTTTTCGAAGTTCAATCATTATTCCTGGGTTACTAAGTGGTTTTCTCGTTTAATATTTATGGAGACAGATTACAATGAGAAAACGCGTAAAATTCATAACGAAAATTACACTCAAATCCAAACAGTGAAATGGTAATACTTTTGTATTTTTTTATGTACTACTGCGACAATTGCTGAATGACAGTTTTTCATACTACGAATTAGAAGTTGTGTGACTCACTGGTTTTAACGTCTAACTTTTGGGTTGTGGGTCTGGGCGATCACTGGTTGGTACCAACAGCTGTCTCGCAATCTCACGTTTTTCTATCTCCATTTCCCTGGACATATCTGTTGGGCAATCGGTTATTAGCCAGAGTTCTGTGTTGCTAATTCCTTTTGGCCGGCCGTCTATTCATCTGTATGGAGCGAAGAACACTGTTGATAAAATTCTGTAGCTGGTTGTTATAGATACTTTTGGTGGTGACACTCAAAGTCTCTGAACCACATAGAAGTACTGATTTGACATTAGTGTTGAAATTCTGAGTCCCTTTCTTTAGTAGATTTCAACACTTTTCAGATTAATGAAAGTCTGTCTTGCTTCTATAAACACCGTAGTATATGTCATGACTGAGCACCAACAACGCATTGTTGGTTTTTTCATTGTTTTGTTCTATCGTCATTGTCATGAAGTCTATTTGTTTTTTACGCATTCCCCTTACTATTGTATACTAGGTATTCACGGGCAGGTTATGTTACCGATGTGGACTTTATCAATGCAGCTGAAGAGCAAAGTTTACTATTAACAGCTACAAATGATGGTTATATTCGTGTATGGCGTAATTATACACATCATCTTGGTCAAGATCCAGAGATACTCACTGCCTGGTAGGTTATCATTGCCACCTTTTTCAAAAACGTTATTTGACTTTAGTATTTCGTTAATTGCACCCTAACCACAGCGTATTTCACTCTGTGTGTGTATTGTTAACTTGAACTTCTATTAGAAAGTTTTTTTTATTCCCTTACGTTCCCAGTGGAACATAGAACTTCAAGCTAGATGTTATCTATTAAGACAAAGAAAAGCTTTGCGACTGAACCATCCAGCTCGGAGAACAGAACTAAACCGAAATCACTCACCTGAGATACGAATTTCCTCTATTATATCTACAAATGTTTAATTTTCTCTAATGGTGATAACCTATACTGTATAATCTGTTCACCTGTCATTTTATATGCAGTGAATCACTGAAGAAACTGCGTCGGTGGCACAGTGGTTGGGACTCTCAGCGATCATGCACATAGTCCGGGGTTCAATCCCCTGCAGACGCACACCTGATATCTATGGTCGGCCTGCAAAATTTGGGCTACCGATATCACATGCTGAAAATTGCAAAACTGTACCAAAAAATACGGTGTGGAGTCAAGCTGTAATCAAAAATCAAAAAATATATATGTCATGCTGCCTTCACACTACATAGTATCATTTCCTTGTTTTCTTTTCAGACTACTTTTCAAAAAAGTAATTTAATTGAGACGTAGTTATCAGGTCGAAAATAGGTAAATAATTCTGAACTGACTGACTGGTTCAACATAGAACTCTACTGTGACTTATTGTTCTAGACTCTCGGTTTCTAAGCACCGGACCATGTCTTAGAAATTTACTAGCGTTGTTCGATGGACCAGGTATTATCACCAGCTCTCAAACAACAGATGTGGCTTATTTCCCCGACTCCACTTAAATACAGTTCGTTGTTGTTGTATAACTTCTGACTTCATTTCAGTTTCATAATGTGACAGGTACTGATTAAACCCTTTCTACACAAGTAATTCTCTGTTAATTATTATTTCCTTCTTGCTTCAAATTGTTTTGTGTATCGTTTACCTTTCTGAAATATAAAGGGCTGGTATTACTGATTTACATCAAACTGACTATCCAATTGGTGTTGTTGTCCATTGGAATCAACAAGCGAATCAATTATCTGTCTCAGGTGATACTCGAACAATACGTATATGGGATTGTTATTGTGAATCAAGATTAAGAGATTTGAATACTGGTGCAGACACCTCGGTAACATGTCTTACTCAAAGTGGAGATAATCATTTAATCGCAGCTGGATTCAATGATGGAGGAGTACGGGTTTGGGATTTACGTGTACCATCGAGTCATAATAATGATAAGTAAGAATAGTTTGTTTGTTCTTCTTTCCTTTCCATTACTGATTCTATTCTTTATTGTTTAACCATTATTATTTATGGTAATGAATTATTAACTAAATAAGTTTGAAACGTTTGAAAATTAAGTGTTTGCAATGAAAGCACATAGAAAATCGTTCTCCCATATATGAAATACATCTCTAAAATCACTGCAAAATATTTAAACCTCTTTGAATCAATATCCTTCATAAACCAGCCAAATTACTTCAATCGTTGCTGCGTCAGCCAAAATAATGCAACATCGAAGGAACACAAAAGCAGCATTGTATATACGCTAAACAGCAACGACTGTAAAAAAAAACGGTGCATTAGTCAAATTGGACGCCCCCCCACCCTGGATCTTCGCATCCATGAGCATAAATTGGCCGTCAAAAACCGGGAAATCCGTTTCCTCATATCAATGCATGCAGACAACCGTGGACACCGATTCCTTTGGGGATATTTATAAATCGTAGGCAAGGGAAACACAGAAAGTGCCATCAAACCTTTATAAACCTGGTGATGGAGGCGAATCTGCAATCAACTTAAAGATTCGCATTGAGTTATATAAAGGAAAAGACGTTCCGCGAAGAGTAACTCTCCAATCAAAACAAATATATAGGCAGATAAGATTTACCAATAAAAGGAAGTCACATGGACAAGAGGTCAACTTGAGGGTGAGAAAATATACAGATGCAACCAGTCGCATTCAAGGTTACGAGCAAAGAGTGCTGATAAACTCGTTGAGTCCTGAAAGCTCCCTTCAGATTAAAGTTTGAGCCGAAGATGTTATCTATTAAGACAAAGAAAAGCTTTGCGACTGAACCATCCAGCTCGGAGAACAGAACTAAACCGAAATCACTCACCTGAGATACGAATTTCCTCCATTATATCTACAAATGTTTAATTTTCTCTAATGGTGATAACCTATACTGTATAATCTGTTCACCTGTCATTTTGTATGCAGTGAATCACTGAAGAAACTATGTATGTCATGCTGCCTTCACACTACATAGTATCATTTCCTTGTTTTCTTTTCAGACTACTTTTCAAAAAAGTAATTTAATTGAGACGTAGTTATCAGGTCGAAAATATGTAAATAATTCTGAACTGACTGACTGGTTCAACATAGAACTTTGCACAGAAGTGCAGCTGTTCAAGTCACCACTCTCCATGTAGCACACAAAGAGAAGAGAGTAAAGAGAGGTTCAAAAGTGAGAGAGATTATAAACAGAAATATGAAGCAAAAAGAACAGTAGACAATAGGGTTTAATGGATGTGACAGATCACAAAGACTCAATGCATCTGCGCCAGCCATTGAGAACAACTTTGAGCTGGCTATGTCACCAGTCGTCTCCAGCCATTGGTTCTTACCATTCGGAGGACCACAACTAGTCTACACATGTCTACGTTGCTGGCTTAAACTAACTTATGGATTTTAACAACTGGCATCATGTGTTGGTTTGACCACCGCTAACTCTCCCTTTTCCAACCTTATCCTATGTCACCTAGCATGTGTGCAGCACATGTGTTAACCATCTCAATCGGTGTAACTTCACAATCTCATTGACTGATTTCCCCTCCTTACCTAGCACTCACTGGACGCCTAACCTCAATATTGGTCACCTCATTAAAACTAGAGATAAAACATAGGCGCAGATGATCAAAGTCAGCTAGTCTTTTTTTTATCTTAGAGTTTTAATGACTTTGTCTTACAACCATAGAGGAGAATGAAGTGAACAGGTGTTCATTGTACATATCCTTTGATGGAAAGCCGGATATCACGTCTACATCAGAGATGGTGCAGATTGGCAAACGTCATATGAGTCTTTTGAATCTGTGTTGAGATCTCGTCAGCAGTCAGTCCACTGGAGCTGATGCAACTTCCTAAATTTCCTTTCATTGCATTTGTAGTCTCTCTGTAGGATATCCTTCAATCCTAATGAGTAGTGAGGGATCATATTGATATTAATGATACTTCATCTAATCTAGTGAACTACAATATTTACCACTGAAAACAAATAGGATGTCTCTTAACATCTATCACCAAATCACTGGTACATTTTACATCCAAGCATATAATTTGCATTACATTCGTATTTTCAGAGTGGGGGTACATTGCACAGTTATAAATATTTGTCACCGAATTGTCAACCGAAAAAGTATGTATACTTAAATTGAAAGTTAGTTCATTATACTCCGAATTTAAGGCAACTGAAGTAATTTGCCTAGATATATATGCAACTAACAAAGTAAACTGTGTATACTGCCTATTGATAAGTTATGCACGTTCATAATATATCTGCTAAAACTAGTTCTCGAATGGCCTATCAACATAACTTTCTACCAATAAAACTATTGATTATTTGTCTGTAAATCGCTTAGTTATCCATTTTTCTGTTTTCAATTCTTTTCTTTTTTTATCAATTCTAGTCTTATATTCAATAGTCAGGCTGATTCAGATCGGATACATAAAGTAATGTTTTCACCGTTGAATCGACTGTATGCTATAGGCGCTATGGGTGGTGTTGGAGTGTGGCAGTTATCCTCATCAGCTGGTAGCAATAACATCACTATGACAACTTCTACTACAACGAGTACTCCTACTGCTACTTGTGTGAGGAGTAACTATGGTCGCACTAGGTGTATATCAACAGCGGTTACATCACCACCACACTTTACCAATGCTATGGGTATTCGTAGCGATTCTTATAATAGTGGTAATAGCAATGCTACGACATCTCGACGATTTCGACGACTACCATGTCCTCCACGATTATCTTTGCCAGCTAATTCATTTGTCAGTTGCGCTGATTTACTGGTACGTCTTTGTGGTTTTGTTTTATTTTAATGCTAACTACGAATTCTACATCCTGCCTATTATCAGTGTAGGCGTGTGATTGATATGTTAAGTGGTAGGATACGGTTGCAAAATTTGATGTCTAAGGATATCTTTTGTGGCTATTCAATGTTTAGTGCGTCGATTCGAATCGATTGCATGCTAAGTAAACCTTGGTGTCGTTGCATTTTAGAACCGAGGCTCATTCTACTTAGTAATATTTTTGTCCTCCTGTTTGTCTTTTACCCCATTTTCTTACCTCATTTTTCTACCTCTTATCTATGGCAATCATCTGTAAATATTTTGACTTATTGGTGGATGACTAGCAGTGGAATCCAGGATGCGCATTTCGTCCTATTTGGGACTCGTCGCCTGGATGTACCTGTATTCTACAGTGAATGATGGTGTTCTCACCGAAGCTCGAACATCGTCATTCACTGCGGAATGCAGAAACATCCAGATGACGAGTCCCAAATAGGACGAAACGCGCATACTGGATTCCACTGATAGTCACCATACACCATTTAACCTCTAATCGCATGCCCAGACATCATCGAAGCATCTGCACAAGAAGCCGACATGTCAACCTGAGACCCAGCACTTCGGTCCAATCAATCAACGGGAAAATCTAAAATTGAATTTTGACCTATGTTGATAAAACAGTTGTTCTTCTTTATGCTGTGTCTCCACCCAGTTACCCAGATTAACACAACTTATAGAGGCATTTTGAACTTGACACCTTGCTATTAGAGTCGTATGCTTTAACCACACCTCCATATTCGCATATTTATTCGGCTGGGAAATATTTATTTTAGTGAAGCAGTTCACTAATCAGAGTGATTTGCACAAGTTTTAATTTGAGGGGAATATCCCTTTTCTCTAAACAGTACGTAGGTTGATTCGTTGGAGTGAATTAGTGCATGGTATACGCCTTTATTCGGATGGTTGGATAGCAGCACTATTACCTTTTTGGCCAGATAGAAGTGCTTTAAATAGGTGATTGCTTTGCTTGTTTCGTTCATTGACTGAAATGATTCCATGTAGAGAGTAGGTGATTATTTGAAATCAGCCAAAGTCGGACTATTTATTTAAGTAGAGTACGCAGTTTGAAGTGAGACGGAAAATGACTAAATACGACACAGTCATAAACTATTACCATAATTTTCTCGCATGCCTAATATTCCAGTCTTGGACTATATGTTCTGAAAAGTTACAATTTGATTCGTTCTGGCCTGGATTTTTCTGCCTGAATTATCAGCCACTTATTACATATTCGAATTTATTACAGTAAACTGAGGTAAGCAGGAGCAACTATAAATCTATAATAGAATAAATTGGCGCTCATGAAGCCTGGAGAAATGAGTTCCAATTCTAACTGTAAACGTCTCGTTAACAGTAGTTGCTTTTCTCAGATTGTTTCATTTCCAGTTAAAATGTTTTGTGTAGCGTCAATATTATAGGCAAAAGAATGACCTGTCTACCTTGATAGTATGTACACTCCTTTTACATCTTCTTGGAACAACAGATGCTAATGCAACACTCCTCCAAGTTCTGTGTTTCTTTTGGCTTCAAATACACTCACTTGTAAGCAATCGATTCACTACAGCCATAAACGTCTACTAACCTGAGATATTTCATCTCACTGTTTCTTATTTACTGTGCATATGCGTATTGTTGATGTTTTTTTACTCGCCTAACCAGTGTCTTACAACTTTTTCTGTTTATTCATATTTACTACTTTGTCAGGTTGATTTGTCCTCTCCACATGCGCATCTTGCAGTAGCTGGTTATCGTGGTCAGTCAAGTATTTCTCTGCATCGTATTCAAGATGGAAGTTTACATTCATCTATTAAACACTATGGTCATCTTAGTCGAGAGCAATTCGGAACACCTACATGTTGTACTTTCCATCCGAATGAGGTTTGTTTTAATGCTTACAACCGTTTTTTTTTCTTACAGCAGAGTAGTTTGGGTGCAATTGATTGATTTCAGTATACGTTTGTTCATCAGTTAGTACCAAGTATCACAGTTGTTTTGTTCCATCTTTTGACTGCTCAATAGTGAGAATCCAGTCTGTCATGTGAATTGTGAATTTTCAGTTATTAATATGTGTTTTAAACTACTTGTTAGCCTCCAAAGCCTCAGGATGGTCGGGGGTGGGTGCCTTGCGCTGCGGGTTGGCCACCCCTCCGCACACCTCTTGAAATCCTCCCATATGACCGGGCGTCTTACATAGCCTCTCCTGAGGAAGTCCTACTCACTGCCTTCACGTGGCGGAGGTGTTTTTCACCAAAGTGAGAGGGCGAAAGCGGATGCCTGGCGCTCTTCACCGGGTTGACTGTCCATTGGATGACAGTCTAGAGGAGATGGCTAAACCCTGATTCCAAACCTCCAACGACTGGCATATGAAGCTCACTGGAGCTCACCGGCAGACGTATGGAGAAAGGGCTTGTTGGATGTCCTGGATGTCTGGCCCCATTCAAAAAGGCGTATGAACCGAACTCCGGTCACCGGCTGCCAATGGATAGTGGACTCCCTACTCCACTCCTACTGCCTTGTAGGTCACACTCGGTTGTGTTAAGGCTAGAGCTGCACTCTCAAACAAAAGGCCGAGCGATTCTGGGGTCATCACTCGTACCAAATTCCCATGAAACTTCATGAACTCTCTTCATCAGATCGCCGCGCCTGGGCAGCGATGATTCGAGATGTTCATGAAGCCGGCTCATCCTCCCGTAGGAGATAGCCGAAGTAAAGTAGTTTTAAACTAGAATGAAACAACTTTTCAGTGTTTCTCGGTTCCCAGTGTATCTCTAACCGGTATTGATTCATACTGAAGAAGGAACCACTGTGGTATTCTACAGAAAAAAAGTTATTTTCATTGAAACAACAATTTTATTGTATTTTTATTATTTTGCATTGATTTTTGTAGCTTCTAATAGCCGCCGGTTTGGACGATGGATCCCTGCTACTGCTGAATGTTCAGCATGGACCAAGCAACAAGTAGATGATGGTGACTGTGAATTAATGACTGACAGTCAACGATTAATTTCTACATCCTAATTATTTTCTATTCTAAACCATATATATATATATATATATAACCTTGTTTTGTCTGTACATAAATCAGCATAATCAGGGGCTTTCCATTCTAATCTCCATTGTGGTTTCGTTTTCATCATGAAATGCAACGCAAATTCTTCCTTCTCTGTCTGTCTTAAGGAGAAGATCATTATAATTGCGTCTATATGTTAGTATATATTGATATCTGTTCGTATTTTTCAAATATTTTCTATGCTTCTTTTGAAAGCAAAATCCATCTTGATAAATATGTTCATCTTTCACATTTGACATGTACTGTTGTTTACTTCTTGTGTGTGTGTATGTCTGTTTGTGCGTATCTCAGCCTGTGTTTTGCTTAATGCTCTTCACTGTCCAACCTAACGTACAAATTAGTACTAGTCTTTCCGTATCACCTTTTTTTCTTTTCTATACACTACTCTCCATTGAACAGCGAAACACGGAGACACACATATACAAGTGCATTGAGGTACTTTGGATCAAGTATGTACATCTTGAATCTCTTCCTAAATAAAGATTGCAATTTTTCAAAGAAAATGAAGAGATCATGCCCAGTATTCATGATACTGATTACAACGGTATATTTTATATACTCTAATGTACTTTTTCTCATTCCTATTTGCTTAATCTTGTCCATTTTCCTTTTATTGCTTGACTTTCTACCTTGTTTCTTTCAGTTATCTTTCTTCTGCCTATCTAGCTATCTTTGTATATCCCTTTTTCATTTCATATTCCCTACCTTTTTATATACCAGTGATTCATTTGTATCTTTGCATATGTCAACAGAGTAAAACAAGTAATAGTTCTTCAATTTCAGATTTTACTTCATTATATATCAAGACATCGTTTAGAGGCTGCTGGATGATAACTGTTCAATCCTATGTTAGGTGGGAAGTCCTGATGTAAATCAATTGTATGCGTGTACCTGAAAAATGTCTCTTCAGAATTGGCATTATAGGCCCTCCCATCGATGGGCGACAACGTAATTCACTACAAATTCATGTCATTAATAAAAAAGAGGATTTATAGCCAAGGTTGATGATTTCGATTTAGTTTTGTTCTCTGAGCTGCATTCATTATACCGCCAATGTTAATGGTGTGGTTTTAGGACGTCTCCTGGAGGAATACGAAAAAAAATTTACAGCAGAGGTAGGGTTATTGTAGAACGTTAATAAAGAACATTATGAGGTATAAAGTGGATCAGCTGCTGTCAAAAATGTACAATTATCATGATGATAATAATTATAGGTGATGAAAACGCACACCTTTGCATTAATCAGATACAGCTGTGAAGATAATATTAAACCAGGGGAAGGACTATACTCCCTGACTCATGATGTTCACAAATAGGAGATTTCATTCTCTTCTGTTTACCTTTTGTCAACCAAATCAGATAATGTGTTTAGCCAAGTACTTTTGAACAACTCACAGCGTACATACCTTCCCTTTATGGATATATTTTCTCATGAATTTTTTACCGCAATAGACTGCCACTAAGAACGACTGTTATAGTACTGAAGGTTATTTTCCTAAATATCACTCCATGAAGCACAAGTTTGTAGATATTCTTCAGACTAGTAATGCAGTCCTTACTATTACATCATACTCGTTTTAGAAAATGAAATGGTTGTCAATGGCGCAGATGTATTCAGTTTCTGTAATCTTTCATATTCCTTTCTACCATTACTCATTCTGTTTCACTCTTATACCTGTCAAAACTCTATTGATTCTCTTCATTCATTTTCTTGTGTACCTTTGTGTGCTCTTTGGAACTTGGCAACTCGAACTGCTGCACTTCGGTGCCAAGTTCTATGTTGAATCCAGCCAGCCAACAAAACAAAAGTATCCAGGTGACCTACTAACAGGTACTTCAGTATTGAGCGAAACGTCATCAGTTGACATTATTCACCTTTGAAATTGCATTCAAGGAATGTAGAAAGGAGACTTGGATTGGTAATAATCTGAAGAAGTGTAAGAAAACAATACTTATCTTCAGCGTCTTATCCTATGTGTGTTAACAACAGATATGATGAAACGTAGAAATGAGTTAGTATTTTGAATAGTAATTTCAAAAATTTCGTCCGCGAATCACCTTAGACCCTGTTATTAAGTAAGTATCGTTTTAGGTTCGTTCTAAAGTTTGTAAATTCTGAGATACAAGAAATAATATAAGCTACGGTTGTTATATATATAACTTGATAGCATGATGGAGACCTCTGAAGTCAAACAGCAGTACGTACTAGCTAGGTTGAAGTGATCTAAACACCTGACAGGTGTTTCGCTCTTGTGGTGGTGAGGTCACCTGCGGTGTGCCCACGTGGACTCAGTTCAGCGTGCCGAATGAGTTCAAATCACGCAGGTTCTAGCTAGGATCTTGAGTGAACTGATAATACAGAATCAAAATAATCATCTAAAATTACATGGGTCAGCGTGAGAATATATTATGGTTTCTATCGGAAATCAGTATATTGCGATCATCAGGTGTGATCTGGAATCAAGAAAGTAAACGAAGTAGCATTTTGGTATAAATTACTGGTTGATATAATTAGCTCCTACAGTGTTTCCAACAAAGAAACAGACTTTACATAGAACTCTCTACTGTGGTTAGATTGAAGAGGTACTTAAACCTCACCAAGTCGCCCGAACAGGAAATGTTTAGACTGATTACTTTAATGTGTCGGATTTCGTGTATTGATCAGGTATGTCAAATAGTCCATTGCAGTCAATCGGGATGTTCTAACATAATTTATGTTAGTAAATTCTAATAGAATGAATATCCCGCTAAGTAAATTCAGCTATCTCAAAACGTACAGTTACCCACGAATGAAGAATGTTCTGAAATTATGTATACTGGAGATTTGCAACTCAGGTGGATGCTTTTTAGTGTCTTCGTGTTCTCTGAACTAGATGACCTTATTACATTTAACTTATGATTTTGAAGACTATTCACGTTAGTTTAGACTTTTATCTGAACTTCAAACATTTTTTGTATTATACCAATCTTATCAACTCCTGGTATTCTGAGAAAATGTGCATCTTATTTTGAATATGAATCTGTTCACCAGCAGAGGTTGTTTCTAGCTCGATCAATGTCATACACTCTAGTTAAACATCTGGTCTGCTTCATTTATTTCATTACAACAATAAACATTGATTACGTAAGTTCCCGGTAGTGCTGTTGATAAACTACACTCTTCCAGGCCTTACTAGACGTTATTTTCCTACGTACCCAAAAAATCAGTACTCAACCTAACCTGTAGGCACTGAAGACAAAACATAAATTAAAAAGACCTAGTTCGTTGAAAATATACACCAACAGGCAATATATTTGAGTGAAATAAAAGGTCAAGATTATCTAGGGGGAAAGATTTAGAACTTATCTAACGAATATAGTTGTATTACAAACTAAAAAAGAATCTGCATCTTGAAAGTGCATAGTGGCGTTAGAGTCACTCCGAATGTGTAGACACTACTAAAGCATTGGGAATTACAATACAATATCATCCATAGATTACATCACTCATTACCTTCATTTTTCACAAATCCAGTTCATATAAAATTCAGTAAAACTTTAGGTATTATAGAAGAATCGGTCATTTAGTAAGTTACATTCTCAGATACACAATCTTATATTCCAGCTATTACCGAAATATTCAACATCAAAGTGTGTTTGTTGATGTGAAACTTCTTACTTTTTTGCTTAAATGCATACCTACAAATTGATATTACTTTGAGGACAATTTAAGACCAAGTAAATTTGGAATTTTTTACGTCCTAGTGACAAAATACAGAGTCTTCTGAACACTTAAACAAGAGTATGTGATTAGCCCCTGCAAAAGTAAGATGATGCTGTAGGAACAATCTGCTTTGACTCCTGGTTTAATTATAGGGATTGATTTCGTTGCGACTATTGATCACATCAATTATTTAGGGAGCTGCATTAACACTAATTGAAGCTTCATCGATTAAGGTAGCTAGGACACGTGCTATGCATGTCAAGCCATCGCCCTTCTAGTCAAGCGGTGTCATCTGACATATTAAAATGTACAAGAGTTATAAGTAATCAGATCAAAACTTGGCATCAATCTATGAAGAACACTGTTGATAAAATTCTGTAGCTGGTTGTTATAGATACTTTTGGTGGTGACACTCAAGGTCTCTGAACCACATAGAAGTACTGATTTGACATTAGTGTTGAAATTCTGAATCCCTTTCTTTATGTTTAGTTCAGTAGATTTCCACATTGATTTCGGAGTGATAAATGTCAGCCTTGGCCTTTCCGATTCTGGCTTTAATATCCTTATTCGTACAGTCTGCAGTTGAAGTGATGCTGCCTACACAAGTGAAAGTGGTGACAGTGTATATTTAAAATTACCATTATCTTTAGTCAATAGAGATCCATTTAAAGTAGACTTCTCTGCAAAAATAAAACATGGTATGTAAACATCTAATGCATAATTAAAATTAAATAACAGTGAAATGGACAGTTTCAAATTTTACACCCAGAAAAGAAACAAACAATGGGAATAATAGTGATGAACAAACAATATAGGTAGTCACCTGTCAAAATTACCGTCATTTAAGCAGATGATGGTGGCAGCTATAAAATACAACCGCAAATATACAACCTTTGTCCATGTGATACATATAAAACCTTCACTGAACATTTTGTTTTAGAAGGGTGACGAAAGCTTCGCAATTAAATCAACCAGCTCATAGGACATAATTAATTCGAAGTCAAATGATTTTATCGACGGAACTGTTGACTGGTACACATCAACTTTCCAACCGTTTGATTGGTTAAAATTATTTCAAAGTTATCCGATATTAGTCATGTACGCTTTAATAAATGCTAAAAGGCATTGTGTTTCCTACTTGTTTAATACAAGTTGAAAGTATTTGGATATTTTGATCTCAAGAAATTAGTCTTTTTGAGTATTATGACAATATCAGTAAATTCAATAAATCGATGGGACATATTTGAATGTGAACTTCTAAAACGACTTCATTTACTGTTAGAACGATTATACTTGTAACATTTGAATAAAAATGCAAATAAAGAGAATTATGAAATAATAAGTGTGAAAAAAGAGAATATTTATACATTATAATTTGAATACATGTGAAATACAAACAAAGTAGTGGTAAAGACAATCGATTACAACCCTTTAAAATAGATATAACTGTACACGTGTTAAACATAATAATAACAACAACAGTAAATTGGAACCAGTTGATTTACAGTTATAACGTAAACCAGATTTATCAATATCAGTTAGCAGTTTACGTAAGAATGCTCACGAAGAGTATCAGTATTATCGTTTAAATAAATTGGATAAAAAACTAAAAGACATTAATTAAATACATTATGGATGTAACTGCTGATCGTAGTAATAATGAATAATAATAATAAATTATTTTATCGAAACATACTTATTTTATAGAATTTTTATGTTCAGGGTTTTTTGCCTTTAATTATCTTGATTTTTATATGGTGAAATCGACTCTTCTAATCTAATATTACAATTTATTTTGATGAATTGAATTTTGATTATCACGGGGGGGGGGGGGCGGCAACAAATAAAAAATAGGAGTGATAACTTTAGAGGATTCAAGTCGGCCAGATATACCACCAACAGCATGCACAGAACTGCCTGCCAGTGGACACCAGTCCTGCAACGAAAGCAGAAATCCTAAATCCGATAAAGATACTAAAGTTGACGAAGGTAGCAGGACCAGACGGAATTCCTCCCGAAGCACTGAAATCGGGTCCAAAGGCTGCGGAAGATGTACTCACGCTATTACTGCAAAAGGTTTGGAAAGAAGGAAAGGTACCTACCGATCGGAAGAAAGGCTGACTACCCTGTCAAGCTGCTGAAGAAGGGCGACTTACGCCTCTATAAGAACTGGCGTGGAATCATGCTTTCTCCACGCCAAGTGGAGAGAGCATCCTAGAGAGAATAAAAGATGCACTGGATACAGAACACCGACGGAACGGATTAAGCTGGATTCAGGAAAGGCAAATCATGTGCTGATCAAATTGCAACTCTACGCATCGTCACCATCGAACACAGAATATAATTGCAGTCAAACCTCTAACTCAACCTCATCGACTTCGAAATGGCCTTCGACAGCGTTGACCGAGAAGTAATTTGGAAACTACTTCAACATTATAGCGTACCTGAAGTATTTATCAACCTCATTCAACAGATATATGACAGTGCCAGGTATGAGGTGATCCACCACGGAGAACACAGTGAAGCCTTTGAAGTGAAGACTAGAGTAAGATATATCTGTCTACCATCACGGATGATATTCCTGATTTTGATGGTGTGTGGATTATGCGATAGATTGTGGGAAGCAAGAAGACAGGAGTACGCTGGACCACCGACAAGAGGACTCTACAAGATCTGGATTTCGCAGATGGTATATGTCTAATGTCACACAAACTCGAAGACTTGCAGGCAGGCGAAAACCAACAAACTGACTGAAAAAGTAGCTGGCGAGGACAGGACTCCAGGTGAACATAGAGAAGATGGAGGTAATGAAGATAACCAACCAACAGCAACAACAACCAGCAGCAGTCACTATCGAAGGGAGAGATTTAACAGAGGTTGTCTCCTTCACTTATCTAGGAAGTATCGTGTCAACCAGAGGCGGAATGGATCAATATGTCAAAGTCAGAATCGGAAAGGCAAAATACGCCTTCATCAACCTGAAACCATTTTGGAAATCTTCTGCACCATTCAGCATACAGAACAAGATTAGGATTTTCAACACAAATGTGAAGTCAGTCAGAAAATTGGCCAGCGTGTCACGGAAAGGATTTCCAACAAGTTGCAGACTTTCAACAACAGTTGTCTTCGCTCCATACTGAATATCAAATGGCCAGAAAGAATAAGTAACAAGAAACTCCGGCTGAGAACAGACCAACCAAGAGCCGACTGCTTAACAAATATGCAGGAGAAATGGAGAAAGGTCGGGCATACATTGAGGAGACCGTCGA